GAGAATTTGGCTTGTCCTTGGGTGTTCTGTGTCCTGTGTATTAAAGATGATATGGAAATACACACCTATAGGCTGTTGGGCTTGTCAACCATTCTATCTTCTTGAGAGTCACTTGTAAAGTTTATCAAAATCCTTTTAAATGCTCCTAATTTTGATCTATCTACTCTTCTTCTAAAATATATCCTGAGTTAAGTGATCAGAGGCACATCAAGCCATATACAAGCACACTGATTGAGGCACAATGCCATTATTTCCAGTTATCCTATTTTCATTGAATAATAGTGGAATTAAATTACTTTTTAAAAAAATTATATGTGCTTTTCTTTTTCCACAAAAATTTACTTAGCACAAAAATGATTAACAGAGTGATCCAATCATCCTGCACTAAAAACAGTTGGAAAGAAGTTAAAATTTTGAAAGTTGTTTTTCGAATGATTACCCCATGGGTTCCCTTTTAATCCTCACCAAGATACTTCCCTAAGGCTCTAGCCTGGAACCAAGGCAATTTGTTTGGTATGGTATTTTATCCCAGTTTTATATAAATGATTATTTCAGAATAACATATTAGATTTAGTATGGTGAATCTTAGGGATCCCAAAGAGTAAGAATGTCAGTGTTCCCAAGACTACTTAGGGTAAAAGGACATTATCAGCTCAAGAGTTGACATGTCTGGTCTTGGGTTACAACTGGAAACAGCAGGCTTGCATAGTCAAGTGACACTAGTTGTGAAGATAATTCAATGAATTCTTGTATCTTAGTTGGCATGTTGTTAATCAGCCTTCTAATAGGTTTATGTTTACATATAAGCTTTATATAGAGAGAGAACGGAAATCCCAGCTGACCTGATGTTCTATTCCCTTTAACTTTTACAATCAGTTTCTATAAAAGAAATGCTCTAATTTTAATGCTTGTGAATTGTCAATCAAGGGTTTGACCTTATAGTTGACAGATGTTTAAAAAAAGCCTCTGAATGTGGTGTGACTGCAACCTGGTCCAGTTTTCTCTGTCAACTGACCTCAGTTTCATGAGCTCATAGAGTATACATAGTTCTGTTAACTGTAAGTATCTACTACAATATGTGTCAAGTGTTCATATACAGTAAAGTATTAAGACTGTTATAAAGAAAAACTCCAATGAGATGATATTTAAGTTTCTGGCATCACTTCCTCTTAGCAATCTTGATTCCTTCTATTTAAATTGTGCCCAAATAAGAAAAAGTAATTTTAATAATAAATTAAATGAACATTTAATAATAAAATTGAATAATAAAATTGAAGCAATCTTCACATAGAAGAATGCTTATACTCTGATTTTGCTGAATAGTGTGTTGAACTTTGAGAAACAATAGTATTCAGATTTTGGGATGTGGAAGCAGAAAATTTCTAACAACAAGTTTAGGGCACAGAGATGTTTTCTAGAAAGAAACCTTAATAAAGGAGTAATTCCAAACTTATTTTAGCAAAGCTTTTTGAAAATTAGTATTCTAGAAAAAAATATGAGTCCTTTGTTAAATATTCGCATTTTCTCACTGGTGAGAAAGCCACGGTGAGGAGTCCACTGCTTTCGATACAGCACGGCAGACATCCTGCATCACTCTCTCCCTCGCATCTCAAAACTCTAATTTATGTTCCCATGCTTGGAGGGGCCCTGACATTCAGCAAGATCAGCCTGGATCTGTCTGTGCCAACCCAAGCCATTCTTGTCCTCTAACCAGAAGACTGGCTCGGCACAGGCATGTGAAGAAATCTGGTCATTTTATAGGAGGAAAAGTATTCCTGAGGGATTCTTGAATGGGTTCCTTCATTTTTTTCCACTTTTATGAGGATATATTTGTTTTATCAGGGGTACAGTTTCTTGATTTCAAGGAGATACAGGATATTGTGTGAAGAAAGAGTGTTCAGAACTTCTGTGGTCCTCTTGCAACAGTGAAGGGAACAAGGCCCACACATGGAAGATGTCAAAGTAAAAAGGATCTTGGTTGTTTGATACTGCTGGGCCCCTGAATTAATGTTAGAGCCTTTTGGGGTTGGATCAGAGACGAAGAACCACTGAGAATGACAGAGAATAGGATTTATTACATGGACTCATATAATTACACAACTGTGGTTATCAGGCCTGAAGTGGCTGAACATTGCTGCACCAGTAGTCAAGGAGAGAGCTGGACATGGAGTGACGATGAAGGTGAGTCTGTAAGAGCAAACTGGGACTGGCATCTATCTTCATGGCTTTCACAACAAGGTTGTGGGTGCTCTGCAGGAGAAACTGGTGCTGGTTGCCTTGGAGCTGCACACGTCCTGGCCAGCACTCTGCAAAACTGACAGACTGGCAGGATCTGGAAGAGCTATCAGTCCAGAGCACTGGTATTCTAGAGAGGTGTTGCTGATCTCTGCTAGCTTACCTTTTTATTTTTTCTCTTATTTTTCTGCTAGCTTCCCTTTTTGGATTAGGGTAATATTTTGAGCTGTCACAGTGCCTGGGGTCATATCTTGACCCTATGCACATAAAACAAATACATGTCCTTCACTTCTACCTACCAAATCTGGTGCAAATTTCTCTTATGACCACCTTCACTCGAGAACCAACTGCCACAGTGCAAAGCCTGTACACCACCTATCACTGAAGTTCTTGTATGAAAAAAACACTTCTTCAGTAGTTAAAATCCATACCAGCCATGTAGCTTACATATGTGCTGAATATGAAGGTTTTTTCTACAAGCTTAAAGTGCCTAACTGTGGCTATATCTACATCACAGTGCTAAGGAGAAATTTTATTGACTCCCACCATTAAAGGCTAAAAATCTACAGCCATGGATATAGGGATGAATCAAGCAAAGTTAGCTAACTTCATTAATAATCATTTACCAACAAGCTCCAGTCCCCATGTAGCATTCTTGTTCTAATAATGTCTTCTGAGTTCTACCCACAAAGAGGTAGTAAGGCCAAAAGAACAAAATCTCATTTCTTTACATCAGAATTTAAGTCTCTTGCATCTTTCTAAACTTTTTTTGTGAAATGTTAGTTTTCTCATCATTGAGAAGCAAATGTCTATTAATCCTGAATGCAACAAAATTTCCTTTAATTACATTTTTCTAATCACCTTGTTTAAACTGCTTTTCAAACCACATACTATAAGTTCTAAATATTTGTTTCAAATGCAACTTTTTGAAAGTTTTTGCAAGTTTTTGGCCATAAATTGGCACCTTCTATTTCTCCAATTATTGTCCTTTATAAGAAGAAGCTGCTTATTCTTCACGAACCTGAAAAACAGAATGGCAGTGAGTTCTATGAAATTCCCTTGACTTTCACCAGTGGAGCACACACCCAGACCTATGCCAAGTCCTTCCCAGAGGTAAGCAGGCCTTAGCCAACCCTTCATTAACTTCAAAGGGAGGCAGGGAATTGAGGTAGTTATCTGCATTACAGAGAGCAGGCACTAGTAATTCACCCCAAGACATGCTGGGTCACTCTCCATTTCCATTCTTCTCTTCCCCCCTTCCTTACCCCCTGCTGCCCCAAGATGGAAAACATTCTGTAACCACACCACCAATTTGTGCTGTAGCCCTGACATACAGAATTCGGTCAGAAAATATTTTCTTTGTGCTTATAATGACTGAGGGTTCTTTTTAGGCTTTTGTGAATGGGAAACAAGAAGGTTTTACAACTCATCTCTGGCCTTCCAGAAGCAATTCCTGCTTCATGGCTTTTGTTAGAATAACTGTGATAAAGTCAAATTCATGGCATGTGTTTTGGAGGCACTGTGACCTCCTACACCCAAGTGTAACTGTAGCATATGTGAGGCACCACCCTAAATAAGTCCATTGGATGGTATTTCTGGGCAGGCTCTGCACAGATGGCTCTAAATCCAGTGCCATAACACTTGTCAAATAGTGGCCAGCGTTGAAACCATTCAACTGATGTGTTTATCCTATATGTGATAAATCCATATAGGATTTATCCTTAACACAGCAAGTCCTGCATCAATAAGAAATCTCTGAAGCAGCCAATGGTTTATGATTCTCATATTTAGACTTAGGTATATTTAATAGAACCAACTTTTAGTCTCTCTGAGACAGATCTTCCCTTAAGGTAGTATTTATTATTGACAACCTTATCCCTTATCAACTTACTATTAATTTACAAGACTACTAGTAATTATAAATTAAAAAAAAAAAAGCAGACCTTAGCTAAAGAGGGCACCAAAACTTAAGAATGTGAAGATGGTACCTAACTGTCCTGGTAACAATTCTAAGTGCTGTATAAGCTATTCTATAAAGGGTAGCTAATATCACATTACCAAGTCTCTTTTAACTCAGTTCTAAAGCCAGATCTCATTTAAAAACTATGTTCTATGAAAATATCAATAAAGAAGCAGACACTTTTCTGCCCCTGCCAAACATTCAGTTCAGAGTTCTTTGTCACTCTGCCACTATGCCCATAAAATTAGAGCATTGGCCTGTACCATTGCATCAGAATAGCCTCTCAATGAACCACAGAGACAGAGATGTGAAAAGATTCTCTATGCTTTGGGGCAGAATCAGAAGTAAGGAACTGAAACCTACAAGCAGGACTCCATCATATATTCTCCTTCATTGCCTCAACTTTAAATATTTTCCTCCTATAGGCTCCATTTTGACATGGTACAAAGTCATGTACACTACCATAGAAAGAGTTCATACAGAATATGCAAAAGATTTTTTGTGCCATTTAAATCATCTTTGTTCCGTGAACTCCTGAATATTCTACACAAATGAAAGTCCAAAGTTCAGAGCCTGCAAGCTAAAGTAGAATTAAGCATTTAAAATATATAAATAGAATGTGTTTACCACTCAAATGGTTAGCACTTCCATATTACTTGGAAAAGTAGAATTTAATAAATATGGTAGATTTTATTTGAATGTAAAAAAATAATTTTAAATAGAAAAAAACAGATTTCTTGTTATACTGGTTCATGGTCTACAGGCCCAAAATACTATGAGAGTTAGAGCTGAATATCTACTGTACCTTTTTTTCAAAGTCTTTTGCTTTAATCTTGAGTTTATTGACTTGAGATTCTGCTGTCTCTGCCCTTTCCTTCACTTCATTCAGCTCATGTTGTTGGTTCTTATACTTGGAGAGATATTGACTGGCCTGTGCCTCCTATAAAAGTAAGAACACACATTGCGATTATCTGCATAGTACTTTTTTTCACTGATGTTACAGAGTTGAAAAATGTGAGAGGAATATAAATTTCTGAGTAATGAAATACACTATTTTGGTAAATGACATAGGGATTAAGACTTTCTAGTAGGCATAAATATACATTTTTCTTTACTGTTTGCTGGAAATTCAGAACCTTGTGGCTACTTTTCACCAACTGCATGTCGTATAGTCCTCTCAGACTTGCTGTGTTCTAGAACAATCGTAGTTATTTATTTTACAGTCAGTTAAGCATCCTGTTCTACCTCTGGGTCAAAAAGGTTGGACTTTAAAATTATATGAGTCAGTACTTGTTAGACATGGTTTTCATGGTTAGACATGTTTTTTTAATCAATTCAAAGCCCCTCAAACACATTTTAGGCAAAACTTAACATGTACAAAACTTACAATCACTGCATATAACTCTGAATACTAAACCAGGAAATGGCAAGTACACCTCAATGATGGTGGTTTTGTCTAAAACCATGTTCAGGCCTATCAGGAGAAAGTATTTAGAGCTACATTTATGATAACCAAAGTTTAGGGGTGGGGGAGGCCCCATAATGAAATTTTACCCCAAATTTTCTATCCCTGCATGATATCCTACTCATATTTGACTCATTTCTTATAGCATACATGTTTGGGTAATAACCACAAGGTTGAGAGGGAGACCTCTGGCTTCCTAAAGGAAAAAAATAGCATAAATTTTTACCATGAGCAATAGTCTGGACTTGAGAAAAACTAGACAGAGGGCAGACATGAAGGCTAGCAGATCCTCTCTGAGGAGTTGCTCCCCTAGAACAAGGTATTAACCAAAACGATGGCTGAGAAACCCACGAGGTTACAACTGCCCCTGATACTTAACCGCTGCCTCCACTTGCTGCTTGTAACTCTGCACTTTCAACTGAAGTTTATCCACCAGAGTCTGCATCTTGCTCAGGTTTTTCTTGTCCTCTTCTGCCTGAAATACATAGGTATGCATGTGAGAGTGATCTGAGGGATATAGCCATCTATATTGGGTGTGGCCTCATGTGAGGAAATAGGATCTGAAACTTCAGTAAATATCATCTGAGAACTGTGTTCTATAAAATGGGTTTAGCTGTACTCATCCCAAGTTTTGAAAGATTAATAAACACAGTCCTGAGCAATGACAGAATCATTCCTCAGGATCCACCACAGCAACCTAAAAGCCTTTGCTGCAGTGGAAGTTAAAACCATTAGGTTCAATATAACCTTCAATCTTTTCATTCCAACCAAGTTACCCCTGCCTGAGGTTTCTCAGTAGGAATAAAGTACATTAATACAAAAGCCATGTATGCAAAACAGGAAATCAAACACCCCTCAGTCAAAACAACTCAGCCCTTGAACTTTCTTATTGGCCCTTGGATTTGAATAATGAACTAGAAATGGTAAATTTTGTAGAATTCTGGCAATGGCATCAGCAAAGATAAAAAAATTCCACAAGCTGTGATCTTGGCACACCCATTTTTACTGCCTCAATTACAATCAAGGCTTGGACTGGAGAAAGGAGATTTGGTGAGGCAGGGTTTCTCACCTCTGCTCCATGGAGCCTTTGGAATTCTGAGAAGAGGAAGGGAAACTCCTCCACCCTTTTCTCACACCCCTTTAACTGGATTATGTCTACTTTGGAGCTGTTGAACTTCCTGATGGAAAAAATACCTTAACCTTCCAAGGAATGAGAAACTGATTTAATGAAGACATAATCCTGTTGTTCATTTTTTTCTGGCCCCATTTTACTTCTGTCATCAATTGTCAGCTTCATTGGTGAATACTATAGTTTGAATCTTAGATATTTCCCCAAAGGTATGTGTTAAAGGGAGTCAGTCCCCAGGATGATACATGAGAAGGTGCTGGAATCTCTAAGAGATTAATTCTTTTGAGAGGTCTTTAGGCCAACTGGGAGATGCTCCCTGAAGGGGATTGTGGAACCTGGGTCTCTTCCCCTCTTTTTTGCTTCCTGACCAGGAGGTGAGTACAACTGCTCCACGATGATATATCACTTCTTCACAGTCCCAAAAGCAGTAAGGTCAATTGATTATGAACGGAATCCTCAAAAAATGTTAGCCAAACTAAACCTTTTCCTTTGTCAGTTGATTATCTCAGGTACTTTGTCATAGTGAGGAAAATTTGACTTAACACACTGAGTTTTGTGGTCCACTGTCCCACAAAACCTACTGTAACCAAGCTTATCTCTCCCTATTTCCCCATAGTGCCTACCTATTCTCTCCTCTGTAAGTTTAGCCAAACTATTTCCATAAGCTGGAAGCAGCCTCCCCCACAAAGTTCAATCTGACAGTAGACAACTAATTACAAGTTTTGAACTTACTAAGACAAGACCATGTAGGATTCAACTTAGTTAAGGAACTGAGACTAGCTTATGTTTTAAATAAAAATTTGACTCTGTTTTTATCTCTCTAGCCTTCTAAATGTCAGGCTTATGAAATTTGAAGATTCACAGTATTTTCTGTTTGCAATGAATTCTAAATCAGCACAGGTTTAATTGCTAATAATGATTTACTAGGGAGAATGAGAGATAAAGGAGGTCACACAGAAGAAAACTGAAAAAATCCAGGAGTGGTTGCTGATTTAGTGATAATCCTCCCACTTGGGAAAGCAAAGCCTTTGTTGTTAAACCTAGGTTCACATCTCAGCTCTGGGCATTAAGTAACTGTGGGAGCCATGGTTGTGCACTGGATGTCTCTTCTAGAAAAGAATGTGCCATTCAGCTGTGAGAAGTGAAGTGCAGTTTCCCTCCCCATACAGTGCCTTTGGGATCTGCCATAGAACTGGCACTGAGGCCACAGAGCCCTAGGCAGTCACTAGGCACAGCAGAATAACTGGGCAGAGCTCAATTAATAGCATCTGGCCATTTCAGCCCAACAGGGGACTGCTTTCTGGGCAATTTCTTTGCTGGAAATATGCTCAGAGCTGTCCTGTATTTGAGACTCTTTCTATCTACCCACCCCACCACTTCCACCAGTCCCTTTATAGGGGTCAGTCCTATACTTCACTCTGAGGCTTTCTTTGCCCCATCCTGCTTGTCCTCCTCATTACGCTTCACAGGTGTTATGTCCAGTAAATCTCTTGTACTTCTAATACCATCTGGTTCCTGGAGAGCATACTCAACACAGTGATGTGATCAAATTTTGTTTCCTTTCCCTAAAAAATGAAGATATTATATTTTTGCTACATTTGTAAAGTACAACTAATATTTACACACAGACTCCTGGATATAGGATTCAGTCAACAGTAAAATGGAGCAGCTGAGTAGAAAGCGTGGGTGTGGAGGAGGGACTGTACAGATACTGTCTTTACCTTCATGACAAAAGTTCCTAATCTTGTATCATACTTTATAGCACACTTTTGAGGCACTGAAGGGAGAAGACAGGGTGCATTTCCAAATGCTGGAGAGACATAAAGAAGTTAAATGTGCAGTGGGGAGAAGTCATAGAATTATTGCATTGCGAGGTTACACTTGATTCCCTTTTCACGGTGTAGTTATATAATCTTCCCAAAGGATTGTATTAGGAAAAGAAAGCCATATTTGTGTTCTTTCCCAGATGACATTTTTCAAGCAGCACTTAAGAGTAGGTTTTGCTATTCCAAACACCCTGCTTACAGTTTGATGGTCAAAGTGATGTTAGAGAAGAAAGGACTGAATTGACTCAGCATTGACCTGTAGTATTTCTGAACCAGGTATTCGTATCAAGAAATCTGAAGGGCCTTCTAGGGGGTCTTCTTTCAACTTGTAAAGCCCAGCCTAATACGTTACCTGAAGTAGGTACTCAATAGGTATTATGTGATATGAGGTGGAAAATCTACTTTAAGCATTGTGCAAATACTTGAAAGAAATTAGGACATGTATCTCCTCACTAGTACATGAGAAACACTACGATTACTACAATGAAGAAACAAAGAAGAGCCACAACAGGACAACAATGCATTCCTTGGGACAATGAAAATCCCAAAAGTATAGCTTTACAGTTCTGTTATATAATAGGGTTGTTTATAGAAGAAAACAGTAAGGATAATCAAAAGGAAAATAAAAAGAAAACCTCAGATATTATTTAATATGATTTAAAAGCATTTTACTTCATCCACATGGGAATCTTCTAAAACTCCCTTCAAAGAAGAACAGAATAGTAAAATTTCACATACTGAAGGTGTTTTCTTACTTAGCCACACATACTGTGGGCTACCCTTCAGTGGCTTTGATACACACCACTTATTTAAAGAAGTGTCAAGCTTAACTTAGAAAAAGAATCACTTATTTAGTAATAAGAAGAGTTGCCCAAGTATCCCATTTAATGTTAATTAGCTCAATTTGATGCTTCTGGAGAGTTGCACTTTTTTTTTTGTTTTAAATCAACTCTATGCTGCCTGCTGCAAGGAAGAAGATGTTGTTATCTCTAACAACTCAGCCTCAGAAACAAAAATCAGGACTCATAGATTTTGCATCAGTGCTGTCAAAGGAGATATAAAAATAGGTGTCTAGAATGAGTTTGCCTTTTCATCAGAATAGGTTATGTTGTGCAGTGTAAAAGGATTAGAAAAAAACATTTGGTGTCTGTGTTCAACTGAAATTCAGTCATGTACTGCAAACTCTTTTGGTCAAAGACAAATTATATATGTTTGTGTTCCACAAGGTAATAATGGAGCTGAAAAATTCCAATTTCCTCAAGAATGCATAGCTGAAGAAAAGGCAGGAGAAAAGGAAGCTGCAGGAGATGAACTCCCCACAAAACTTAATATGGAAAAGTTTAGCAGAAGCTTTTGCAGACCTCAACAAGCTCCTTAAAATGTTCAAAAACATGGACCTCAACACCAAAAGGTTTCCATTAATACAGAGGAATGTTCATTGTATATTATATACTTATAAGCAAATCTACAATGGAAAAAAAGAAAGCAAGCAAACTACCATGTACATATTTCTCAAAAGCATGGTACCTTTTCAAGAAGAATGTCGAGAAAGTCCTTCACAGACATTGTTATTATTGGAGGTAAAGTTCCATGTACCTTATTACCCTCAAAGACTTCACAGTGGGATGAGATATACAGGTGGAAGACAGGGATATTTGTGATCTTTTATTTTTGGTATAAATATTTTTATTTTATTATTGTTGTACTGGTGGTACGTTTAGATATTTACCAAAGTTCTTACAAATATCATAGTTGAATCCACTTGATATTAATGATTTTGACCCTGTATAGGCCTAGGCTAATGTGTGCATTTGTGTCTTAATTTATAACAGCAAAAATATAAAAAATTAAAAATTTACAAATGGAAGAAATCTTATAGATAAGAATATGAAAAATAAAATATTTTTGTAGTGCTGTATAATAGGTATTTAAAACTGAATTTTTTTTATTATAAGAGTCCAAAAGTTTAAAAAGTATTAAAAAGTTCATAAAGTAAAAAAAAAAAAAGTTCATAAAGCTAAGCTAAGGCTAATTTATTATCAAAAATTAAAAGAATTGTTTCATAAATTTACTGTAGTTTACATGTACTGTATTTATAAAATCTATAGTAGCGTGTAGAAATGTACTGGGCTTTCACAGTAATTCACTACTCGCTCACTAACTCATCTTGAGCAACTTCCAGTCCTACAAGCTCCACTCATGCTGATGCCCTAGACAGGACTGTTTCTACCATCTTTTTCTTTACCTTTCCTGTGTTTGGAGACACAAATGTTTGCTATTGTGTTACAATGGCCTACAGTATTCATTACAGCAGCATGCTGTATAGGTTTGTAGCCTACTAGCAATAGCCAAATATAGACAGGATGTGTCTGTATAGACTAGATGCTATGGCATCTGTACATGTATATAGAGTGTATATGTGCCTATGTACACTCTATGATGTTCACACCACCGCAAAATTGCTCAGAATGAAGACCAGTCGTTAAGCAATATATGAGTGTATGTGTACCAACTGTGTACCAGGAGAATGCTAAATCCTGTGGCAGACCACAATAAACCATCTGGGCTATCAGAGAATGTATCTTTTTCATTAGAAACAAAATAGAAGAAAAGCCAGGTGTGGTAGGCCAGACCTGTTTTCCTAGCACTTGGGAAGACTGAAGCCAGAAAACTGCTTGAGTCCATGAGTTCAAGACCAGCATGGGAAACATAGTAAGACTCCATTTCAAAAAAAAAGAGAAAGAGAAAGAAAGAAAACTGGAAAATGTATATGAAGAATGTGATTGCTTTAGTACTACACTAATTATATTTAGGAAATGTGCCCACTTCTTTTCAATTATTTGAGACCAGTGTTGGATAAGAGGTTAAATTATTCAGAAAGCCTTAGAGTGGCCTCTACTTAGTATTTGCTGTTTCTACCCTGCACCAGGAAAAGAATCCTCAGTGGCCTTGAATGTTTGTGTAACCAGAAAGTTAGAATGGAAATGTCTCTTGATCCAATTAGTCAGCATCCCATGTAATCTTCTAGACCTCTACCACTCATTTCATTTACACGTTCTCACTCAGCCTCTCACAGGAAGACATCTCTCTGAAAACACTGAAAATGCTATGTGTGAAAAAATAAGGATGGAATAAACAGCTTTCATTTCTAATTGCATTGCTGGCTCACATTTTGTTCTCAACAAGCTCTGAAAAGGGACAGACCCAAATCACTGATAGCACAGGAGCCCTGGGAGGGGACTCTGTGTCAACTGCTTAGGAAAAACAAAGGTTCCAAGAAAACTGCAGGATCCCAGAGGCCATTTCAGGCTGGAAGGACCACACTGCTGCAGGATAGAGCGCAGCTACACACACAGGGCATGGTTTCCTGAAGTACCTGACGGGTCAGTTCTTTGATGCCTCGTTCCAGTCTGCGAGTTTCCCTTTGGACCTCTGCTTTGCGATGGAGCTCCCTATCCAGTTCACCTTCCAGTTCCCGCACCTGCAACCAAACCATGATGTCAGACCATACGCTAGTAACCAGGCTGCCATTGTTAATTTCCAATTGCACAATCATTTGAAGCAGAGTAAAATAGTTGAGGGAAAATGTACCTGCTCTCTTTCTGGTAATGACTAAACAGGGCAATCTCTCTAGGAAAATTCTCAGAGGTGAACTATAAAAGGATTGCTAAGACACTAAAGGATGTCAAAGGCTGACACTTTCAGAGGGATAAGCTTCTCTTCTTGCATTACAAAATTCATATCAAAATTCATATGCGTGCATAGCATGGGTGTAGAGAGTGAGCTGCATGTAGCAGCCATTGACGATTCAGTCAATATACTCCTGATCTTAAGCTGCTTCTTCCATGTTCAGCTCAGACTCTAAAGAAATCAAACCCTGAGTCTCTGTCACACATAGCCCTACAGCACTGCTTTTTAGAATAGCTAGAGTATGTAACTGCCTGTGGCCTTACAGAGTTAGAACAACAAGATTGACATAACATTCATTCAACAAGGTGCCTACTATGCACCACACTCCAGAGCTAGGGATAGAGCTGTGAACAAAACAGACAAAAATCTCTTCCCTGTGTAAGCATGTTTTTTCATAAGAATAAGCAGAGCAGCCAAGCAAAGTAAACTCAGAATATGTTTGATGATGTCAAGTGCTATAGAGAGAAATAGGCAGGAGGAATCAGAGAGTGTGTGTAGAAAGGCTACAGGCTGCTCTTTTGCCAACAGACTCTTCTCCCAGATTTGTGCCCCATTGACTGCTTTCTCCTTTACCCAAAGCCACCTTCTCCATGAGCCCTCTCTGACCAACATTTTAAAACTGTCCTATCCTCACCACCTTCCAGCCACCACTTGAGTGAGGTTGTCTTCTTTGTTCCTTCTTAAGAGAGGTGAGATGTGGACAGTGTCTGCAGGTGTGCAGGTTCCTTGTGAATGAAGCCCATTAATATCTGGACACCTGACCTCTAGGATCTCAGCATAATAGTTCTATTTGTTGTAATGTGACCTGATACCTCCTCCCCTCTACTTTTGAAGGACTTGGTAAGGGCTTTGTTTTGTTTTTAAAAGTCATTAAGATACCTACTGCTTTACTAAACCAAATACTAGACATTATATAATTTAACCTGTAAATACTTTTTAAAAATAACAATGTGCTATCATGGCTGCTGTGGTTTGACTATGTCCCGCCAAAGTTCATGTGTTGCAAACTTAATCCCAAATTCATATGCTAATGGTATTTGGAGGTGGGCATTCCTAGGTAACTAAGATTAGATGATGTCATGGGGGTGAGGTCCCCATGATGGGATTAGTGGCTTAATAAGAAGAATAAGAGAGACCTAAGGTATCATGCTTGCTCTGTCTTACCATGTGATACCCTCCACCATGTTGTGTTCAGCAAGATGGCCCACACCAGATCAAGCAATGCCAAAACCATGCTGTTGGACTTTTCAGCCTCTAAAATCATGACCCAAATAAACTTCCATTCTTTATAAATTACCTTATCTTGGGTATTTCATTATAGCAACAGAAAATTGACAAAACAATGCTTTTCAGTTTATACTATTAAGAAAATTAACCATAATTCTTTAGCATCCCCTGATAGTAGTTCACTGCTACTTAGTTGTCATTATGGTTCTAAGCCATAATGGTGGACAAGCAGTAACTGGCAAATAAAATCCTGTAATCTTAAAATTGGAGTTGTAAATATCAGTATAATTCATGTATTTTTTAGGGAAAAATGTACATAAGTTCTTTGATTTTTATACTTACGCTCTTTTACTCTTAATACTAAAAATCTTTGTTCCTATACATACTATTGGATAAATAATTATATTAATCTTATTGCTAGTAGAAATAACATATTATTTTGGAAACTTATTTTTAAATTCTGTAGCATGTGAATAAATGATTTATGTGATTCATATAAAAAGGTGCATTCAGAAGATCTTTCATCTCTGTGTTCTATTCCCATGGGTATTCATTTTGTGGTTTGTAATTTATCTTGTCACCATTTTTTTTTCAAAACATACATTGATTATACAAAATAAAGGATTTCATTGTGATCTTTCCATACATGCAAATAATGCATTTGATCATCTTCACTCTATAACTTTCTTAACACTCCTCCCTCTCTCCCTTTTCCTTCCCTTAGTCCCCCTTTAACTTTCATGACCTTGTATTATTGTTGTTTGTTTCTTTTTTCCTTAGCTTCCACAAATGAGAGAAAATGTGTGATATTTGTCTTTGTAGGACCAGCTTATGTCACTTATGATGATTTCCAGTTCAATCCACTTTTCTACAAATGGTATAATTTCACTCTTCTTTATGGCTGAGTAAAATCCACTTTGTGTATAGCCACATTTTCTTTATCTATCATTAATTTATAGGCATAAAAGCTGGTTCCACACCATGGGTATTGTGAACAGTGACATGATAAGCATGAAGACACAGGTATCTTAATAGTAAACTGACTTTGATTCTTTGGGGCATATATCCAGAAATGGTATAGCTGGATCATATGAAAATTCTATTTTTACTTTTTTTGAGGAAACTCCATATTGATTTCCATAGTGGCTGCACTAATTTATACTGCCACCAGCAGTAAACAAGAGTTCCTTTTTTATCCCTGCATCCTCACCAGCTTTTGTTCTTATTAGTCTTCTTAATTATAGCTGCCCTGACTAAGGTGAGGTGGAATTGCCAGGTAGTTTTACTGTGTGGTTTTTTTTTTGATGGCTAAGGATTTTGAACATTTTTTCATGTATTTATTTAGTCACTTGTACTTCTGTCTTTTGAAAGTATCTGTTCAATTCTAATGCCTATTTATTGATTATATAATTTGCTTTTTGTTGTTTAATTTTTTGAGTTTTTATATATTCTGGATATTAATCCCTTGTCAGATGAACAGCTGGCAAAGATTTTCCCCCATTCTTTAGGCTATATTTTCACTTTGTTGATTTTTTATTTTGCTGTGCAGAAGCTTATTAATTTGACACAATCTCATTGTCAGTTCTTGCTCTTATTTCCTAAGCTATTAGAGTTCTATTCAGAAATTCATTATTAATGCTTATATCTTAAAGAGTTTTCCCCTGGTAGTTTCAAAGTGTCAGGTCTTACATTAAGGTCTTTGATCCATTTTAGGTTGATTTTTGTACATGGTGAGAGATAGGGATCTAGTTTCAATCTTCTACATGTGGATATCCAGTTTTCCCAGCACCATTTTTAAAAGGTTATCTTTTTATGTTTTGGGTGACTTTGTGAAGAATCAGATGGCTGTACCTGCTTGTACTTATGTCTGGGACTTCTATTTGTCTATGTATCTGTTTTTGTCCTGATATCAGGCTGTTTTTTTTAACTATGGCTCTATAATATAGATTCAATTCAGGTATTGTGATAATCATTGTTTTTTGCTCAGGATTGCTTTTACTATTGAGGTCTTTTGTGTTTCAATATGAATTTTAGAACTGCTTTTTTCTACTTCTGTGAAGAATGTCATTGAAATTTTGCTGGGAGCTGAATTGAACTTGTCTATGGCTTTTGCTAATATGACTATATTTAATCATATTAATTCTGCCAATCTATGAACATGGGAGGGCTTTTCAACTACTGTCTTTGCTGCTTTATAGTTTTCATTATAGAGGTCTTTAACATCTTAGGCTAAGTTATACCTAGGTATTTTTTTAGGGTATTGTGAGTGGAATTGCTTTCCTGAGTTTTTTCTCAGAAAGTTCATTGCTGGTGTGTAGAAAAGCCACTCATTTTTATATGTTGATTTTGTATACTGCCACTTTGCTGAAAGTCTGTATCAGCTCTTAGAGTATTTTAGTGGAGTCTTCAGGATCTTTTAAGTATAAAATCATATCTCCAATAGGGACAATTTGACTTCTTACTTATCTATTTGTATTCCTTTTATTTCTTTCTCTTGTCTTATTGCTATAACTATAGCTAAGTAAGCAAGAACTATGTTGAATAAGAGTGGTAATAGTGGACAACTTTGTCTTATTCCCAGTGTTAGAAGAAATGCTTTTAGTTTTTCACATCAGTATAATGTTGGCTATAGGTTTATCATATATATTTTTTATTGTATTGGAGTATAAAACTATACTTAGTTTTATCAAGACTTTTATTATGAAGGGATGTTGAATTTTGTCAAACACTTTTTCTTACATCTATTGAGATCATTGTGTCATCTTTTTTTTTTTTTTTGCTTCTGTAGCACAGAATTTCAGAGGATCATTAGGCAATATTTTGAAAAACTATACTCCAATAATATTTAGAAAAATAGGATACATTTCCATACACATATGATGTACCAAAATTGAACCAAGAAGATACAAATAACCTAAAAAGATTGATAAGAAGCAACAAAACTGAACCAGTAATTTAAAAAATTCTCTCAATAAAGAAAAACTCAGAACCAGACAGATTTACTGATGAATGCCACCAGACATTTAAAGAGAAAGTAATACCAATGCTCCTAAACTGTTCCACAAAATACAAAAGAAAGGAATAGCCCCAAAGTTATCCTGTGAAGCCATTGTTTCCCTAACACTAAAACCAGATAAGGACACAATAAAAGAAAGAAAGAAAGAAAATTATGGGCTAATTTCTTTGATGACATAGATACAGAAATCCTGAACAAAATACTTGCAAACTGAATTCAAAGCACATTGAAAAGATTTTATATCATGATCTAGTTGGTTTTTCATTCCAGGAATACAAGAATGGCTTAATATATATAAAGAAATAAATGTAATATGACTTTTTGTCATTACAAACTTTCTTGCACACAAGGGTATTTACTCTCCACATTACTTTTCCTGAATTATTCCTTATATCCTTTTAATTAGCATAATTAAATGGGTGTATTATAAATGTGCATTAGTATTCCATTTTATGAATGTATCCTAAATGTACAAAAGTGATACATTATTTTTCAAAAGCCTTTTTGAACCATCTAATCTTTATATTCTTATTGAAATTATTCCATAATTTTAAAATCTTATTTTTAAGACAAGTCTTCTAATGTGTTTTTAGCTTTATGAAGGTAAATTCTACATGATTTCTGTCAGCTGTTGCTATATCTATGCTGAGTCTTTCTGGATCAAGTGTTTGTTTTTCTGCCCTTTCTTTGGTATTTCTCTGGCATCTCTTTTCTCAGCATTTTCAGCAGAGAAAATGACAAGAACAAAGGTAAAGAATCAAGACCACAAGGGTGAATATGGGTATAGAGGACTATCCTACCCATGGAGAGCAAGAGTTGGGAGTGGGGAGTGGGAGGAGATGCACCCCCAGTTAGCAAAGAGGGAAGGCATATTTCATACAGGCCAAGAAAAATCCTATTTGCTAGCCAAAGTCAAGCAACAATGAATAGATACTTTGAGATCAGACATTCTCTCCCAGGGATCTGAAAGTGCTATTAGTAAAAGTGATAAAAGAGTAAGAGGATTATCTACTGTGACATTCTAGTATAATATGGTGTTCAACTGGGGTTTGTCAAGTCCCCATTATTACCCAGGCAAACTCCTACCCTGGATTCTAGTTTCTGAATTTGCTTTCTGCTCCCCAGCAAGGCAGTCTGTTCAGCTTCATCCAGCCTTTTTTGTAAGTCTTTAATTGTCTGATCCATATTCTTTCTTATCCTCTCCAAGTGGGCATTGGTATCTTGTTCCTTCTTCAATTCTTCTGCTAGGTTTGCTGCCTAGAAAAGAAGGAAAGGAACTAAGGTAGTCTAGCAGTCAATCGATCTTCAATTTCTGCCAATGACCTTCAGTTTCTGGTCTGGCTGGATATCATGCTTTGCCTGTGTATATTTAATCTCTTCCCACCGTGCTCTCCCTCACAATTCAGCCACCCTCAAGTTTTGGAAAGATGAGGCAATAGAGATAAACAGCAGCACAGGAGAGATTGGAGTTAGCAGTGGTGGAAACAGACCAAGAATGAAGTACCATACAAACATTATGACACAACACCTGTGTGGAAAGAAAAATGACCAATAAAGCATTGGCTTCTAATTAAGTACCAGCAATCATTTCTTGTTGAATAAAATAATTAATATCACATGATTCACCAGAAAAATTGTGGGAAGGGGCCTATGAAAATGTTTTTCACAACTCGCTTCTATAATTCTGCAAAATGCACTACTGAAAACAAATTTAGACTCCAAAGAATTTGGCAGTATCAAATGTTCTCAGTGCTAATACTTTTCTATCTATCTTGTTACCAACGCCTATAGTTTGGATATGGTTTGATTTTATTCCCTAATGTCTCATATGTCATGCTCTTTATCCTCAGTGTGTTCATGGTGGGAAGTGAAGCCTAATGGTAGGTGTTTAGGTATATTAGGAATGTCCTCTCAGAAAAGATTGTGGGACCCTAGTCTTTCTGGATCTCTGTCTGAAAAGGTGATCTCTTCCTCTCACATGCATTTGCTCTGTTGTGATGCCATTGCCATGGGATCCCCATCATAGCCAAGAGGATGTTGGCAGCATGCCTCTGAAAACTGCCAGAAGGGTGAACTAAATAAACCTCTTTACAAAGTTACACAGCTTCAGTGTTTTGTTACAGCAACAAAATTTCTGACTAAGACAGAAAATTGGTAGTGAGGCATGGAATCATTAATGTAAGTGTACCTGAAAATGTGGAGAAAGCTTTGGAACTGGGAGGCAGGCAAAAGTAAGAAGAGTTTGGAGGAGTAGACTAGAAAAAGCCTATCATGCTGTGAGCAGAGTATTAAAGGCAATTCTGGTGAGAGCTCAGAAAATGAGGAGTCTTCGATGGAAATAAGGATTCAGTTGAAAACAGGGGAAGGGGTGCCCTTGATACACTATGGCAAAGAACCAAGACATGGTGACCATGCTCTAACACTTTGCGGAAAGCAGAGCTTAAGAACAATGAACTAATTTGTCTGGCAAAAGATCTCCACACAACAAAATACTCAGGCTGCTACATGAATATTATTGAAAACTTTTAGTCAAATTAACTGTGAGACTTGGGAGCAAAAGAAAATAGCAGGAACATGTGTAAAATTTTCATCCTGGCCAGGGAAAGAACTAAAAAGCATGTTGAGGACAGGAGTCCTTGCTTAAGAAATTAGTATTGATAAAAGGGAGCCATGTAGTAATAAGCAAAGCAATGAGAAAAAGGCCTCATGTATCTCATAGAAATCTATGGAGTCTCTCCTCTCACCACAGGTTCAGAGGCCTGAAAGGACAGAATTGTTTCATGAAACCCCAAACTCCATGAGCTGCTACTCAGGACTCCCTCAAATTCCTTTTCCTGAACTTATCTGGCAAACAATTTCCTTGCTGCAGTGGATCTCTGTTGTGATGAGGATGTAGTTCTGCTACAGCAGCAGACTTTGATGTCTACATAGTGCTGGAGTGCTGGTAGAAGCCATTCAAGAAACAAGAGTTATGGGTTCATGGAAGCTTTCACCAAGATTTCAAAGCAAAGACTTGGAGGTCAGGCAGAAGTTTGCGACAGGATCAGAGCACCTATATAAAATAGGACTGATGGGCAAATGCCGGTGGAGCCATGGGAGTGGATCCATAGCATGGCCCCCAGAAAGCCAGAGAAAATAACAGTGTTCAACACTTGCTGAGGGAAGTTACTGGCAATGTGTAAAACCAGGATAGGAAAGAGTTATGTGGTGTAAAACCACCAAAGCCACAGGGCAAGGATGTTCTCGGGGTCCCCCCCACTCTGCCATGTTCATAAGATGCCAGACCCAGGGCTCTAGAATTTAATATATGCCCTGCTGGGTTTTGGTTTTGCTTTGAGGTGATTACTTCTTTCTACATCCCTAGTTCTCCCTTACAGAATAAGAAAGGTTATTCTATACCAGTACCACCATTGTACCTTGGAAGTATTTAACTTGTTTTTTGACCTTTTCAGGGTTTAATGGTTGAAAGAGTTTGCTTTGAGTCTGGATAAAACTATGGAATGGGGCTGGACTCCTGGGACAATTAAACCTTGGGACTATCAGAGATGGAATAAATGTATTTTGCATTGTCAGAGGAGTATAAATCTTGGGGGCTAAAATTTGGAAGTGGTTTCTGTGTTTCTCCTATGTGTTGGGAGCTTGGTCCTCAGTATGGTGATGTTAGCAGGTAAGAGTTTTAAGGGACTGGACTTAATGGAAGCTCCATACGTCAAATAAGGTGTGCTGTCAGAAGGAATTTTGAGAACCTGGTCTCCCTGACTTTCCTGTCAGGCAATGCGATCTCTTTCTTCTCTATGTACTCCCTCTGTTGTAATGCTATCTACCACAAAATCCTCACCAAAATCAAGCTGTGGTTGGTACCATGCCCTCAAACCTCTAGAGATGTGAGATAAATGAAACCTATTCTCTTTATAAAGTTACCCAGACTCAAATATTTTGCAATAGCAACAAAAAGGGACCAAAATGCCAAACATCTGTAGAATGTAAGTGTGAGATTTCTACATAGATGTTGAAGACAAATAATGAATGTCAGCAGCAAATCTGAACTCTGCTATGTGGGGTTGGGACTCAGAGAAACACTGTTGATATTGGAGCATGGGAGAAAGAGATAGTGGATTTACTTTTCAACATTTTCAGGAAAACCTTATAAGGGCAACATTAAGATCATACTGTCTTCATAACGGGTGACTACAGATATTTAACAAATAGGAACAGGAGCTCTTTTTTATCTTCTCTGCCTATGTAGATTTTCATAAATGTGAAGCAAGTCATTATTCCCTTAATCAGCAACATCTTCAAGATTTCACACATCTTATTTCCATCAGAGAGAAGCATCTGCTTGAGTGACAGGCAAGCCTCTCCATTCCCGGGGAAGGCTGTATTCTATAATGACGTAGGATTTAATATCAAGACGTTTTGTTTAGTTCTGCAAAATATAGACACAAGCTCTTCACCTCTTTTGAATTTTAAAATCTAATTGGAGGGGCTGTCTCCCCAGTTCTCACAATCCTTTAAGCAAGGGGATCAGCTTTCATTGGGTCAGGGCTGCTGCATGTGGTTACACATTTGATGTGCTCAGCAAAATACCTTGAAGGAGCAGAGCAGAGACTGAAATCAAGCCCCGTCCCAACTGGTAAGCTCTGGGACCTGCCATGCTGGGTCCTTACACATGTACCTCACCCTCCAGCCTCCCTCCACAAAAACTTTCTGTCACAGGTACCTTCTGCTTGTCACGCGTTTTGAGAGAAGTGCTGCATTTGCCCACAGGAGGTCCCCAGAGGGTGGCCTTTTTCCAAGTCCCACAAGGTTACATTGAGGCTGGCAGCCAACCTGGAGCTTAATGGCATTAACAATTTTAAATCTGAAAATAAGAGCTCCACCAATCCTATAACACTTCTTTACCAGCGTTTTTTGCTACTAAAGCAGCAATAGGGGTGTAAAACACAGGAGACTTAAGCATTCTTTTCAGTTTTCCATCATAAAACTGTAATAGGTCTGAGGAACATAGATATTTGCAAGGAAACACAGAAAAGTTTCTAGACACTGGATATATTGGTTCACAAGAGTAAAAGGGCTAAACTTAAGGAAAAAACTTATACATCTACAATATTCTACTTTTGCAATTCAACTGCCCCTTTCATTGCTAGGGTGTGTTGGAAGGGAGGAGCTAATTGGCCTAGTTGTTCAAGCTGAGAACAGGGAGACCCAGGGGTCAGCCAGCCTCCTGCTGGCTCACATATGGAATCTTTCTGGACTGCAAATGGGCCCTTCCTCTGGGCTCCTGCTACAGTGAACTCCAGGAGACAGGATCAAGCAGGCAGTCAACACACCCACCTCAGTGGCTGCCCTCTTGGCCTTCTCTTCTGCCTTTTGACACCGCTGCACCACTCCTTCAGTTTCTCTCTGCATCTGATCAACATCAACCTCCAGTTTCTTCTTCTGGCTAAGGAGGCTTGTGTTCTAAGGAAAGGTAGCATTGCTGTTAGACATCTTGAAACCAGCAATGCTAATGCAAGCTGGTCTGTCAGGACATGCAAGAGGCAGCTCGAGTCAGGAGCCAATTTGATCATAATCAGTCATAGTTAAGCAAGGCTTCCAACCCTAGGTGGCTTTTGGATGGAAGGGATTTCATCTCTTTAGAGCATCAGGAGGAAGATGATGGCAGCCTGAATCAGAAAGGAGAAAAGTGTCCCAGGTAACCAAGAGCCCAAATGTGGGTTAGTTTTTAACTTGTTGAGGAATGTTTTCCTACTTTTTTAATATGGTAGAAACAAGTGTCCCAGAGTCACCTACATCCATCTAGGGAGAAGGGGCTTGGGGAATAAAAGTCACATTTTCCAGCATGCTGCTCCAGGAAGAAAAACAATTCTTTGTCTTTGTCCATTTGCCTTCCTGCTTACTCTACAGTGAGGAGGAGGTGGGCAAAGTAGTTCAGGAAAGCCTCACCCCCTGCCTTAGGACCCCATTAAATGGAGGATGCTTTGTGTTCTATTGCTGGAGCTGCCCTAATTCTTTCTTTCCTGAGTTGTGACACTGGAGGCCAAAGCTCCCTTTGCTGCATCTGCTCTGTGTTTGAAGCACAGCTTTTCTGAGGGTGTGAAACCTTAGCACAGGGAGCATATATAAAAGGCACAGCATTCTACCTTTTATTTCTCCTTTCTTTTATATTATCCCTTCACTTTCCTCTAACTAGGGCCTCTTTCAGGGGCAGGATTAAGTGTTGGAGGAAGAAAGAAAGACATTCCAGCCTCACAGGCTCTGCCTGCCTCTTCCACGGCAGTAAGCATCATCAAGACTGCCCCCCATCTGTGGAGTCAGGGCTTGTGCACCCCAGGGTTTCCATCACCTTGGGTGACATGGGGGAGGTAATTGTGTTTACCTGGAGTGTTTCCTGGATGCTCACTGCATATAACTCCATAGGAACTCTTTCTTTGTAATGGAAGTGACAGGTAGAAACATTGATTTGTTTATACATAGAATCACTTAAAATCTACAAAATCTTCAAAACCTTTGCAAACTGAGTAACTCTGTGGTACTTTTTTAGGAGGAAGCAGGTTAGGGAGTGTTTTGCAGCAGGTCGTCTATGTTGTCACAGCTCAGATTTGAGAAGTGAATACATGTCTTCAGTCAAAGAAAAGTTTGCTTCATATGCTTGTGATGTCATTGGGAGAGGTATAATGTCACATAGGCCAGGACCAGCACCCATGACATGTTTGATCATTGGATACCTCTGCAGAAACTCTGATTCAGTAGGTCTGTGGTAAGACCTGAGGATTGCACTTTTATGTTAGTGACATTTATATACAATACTTTATTTTTTTCTCCTGGCAGAACTGGGGTGGATACTGCTTGTTACGCACTCTCTCTATCACTTGAGGCATTCCATCAGCCCTTTTTTTGTGTGTCAGGTATTTTCAAGATAGGGTCTCATGAACTATTTGCCCTGGCTGGCCTCAAACCACAATCCTCTGATTTCTGTCTCCTGAGTAGCTAGAATTGCAGGCATGAACTATGAGTATCTAGCATTTATACATTTTAAGTTTCAGATACTCTACCATACAGACCAAGTCACCACTGCATAATTTTCATTTCCCTCCCTCAAAATCCTCTCTTCCTTTCCAAGTCTGCTTTTTCTCTTATTGATGTCCTAATCTCTCTCCATAGTCCAATGGGTTTTTAAAATCACATTGGGATTGTTGGTGCATTATCAGTTTTGACATGCATATCAAGTGATTTGTCACCAGTAGTTATTAAGTACTTCACTCAACAGATAATTGACTTTAAAAAACATCTAATTTTCAACATTACAAGATTTCAATCCAATAAATTGAGATAAGCTTTCTTCACGGAGAAAGAAAATATTTACTTTCCCCCTTTTGAACCCAAGGCATTATATATGCTAGTCAAGTGCTCTACCTTTGAGCTACACTCCCAGCCCAACAATATGTGGAGTGAGTTAGCCTTCTGGGAATTATGCATAACCTACTGTCTATTTGCTTTTTTGCTAATGGAACCCAATGGATTGTGTTATGCACATGGACCAAAACTATGGGCAAAACTAATTGCAACACCTTTTGGCAGGCACATTTCTGGTTTACGTAGTCTTTGATGCAGCATTTCTTAGTTGGGGCACAGCTGCATTCTTGAAACAACAATTCTTAGTGATATGACACCTCGAAGGAGTTTTAGTTTCTCTACACTCTGCCCACTAAATGCCAGTGCCACTTCCCAGTCACTGTGCAACCAAAATGGTCGCACAGATGTTTCTCAACACCCCTGAGTATGACAGTCTGTCCTTAGTTGCTTTAATCTATTCTTCATAAAAATCACCACCTAAAAATTTTAAAATGTGGCTCCAATAGCTGCACTCTCATTTACTCAAAATTCTTATACTGAATTCCCATTATCTGTAGATAAAATTCAAATCCATCGATGGGACTCAACGTTCCTGGTGACCTGGCTCTACCTGTCTCTTAGCATCATTTCTGCTCTCTCCTATGCATCCTGTGCTCTAGTTTGTGAATTGTCTTTAAAATCCCATTTCCTCTCCCCCTTCGCCACCCCTGACACTTCTTTCCCTCTGGCTGACATCTTCTGTGTCTTTCACAACTCCGATCAAGAACAGTATGATTCTGCCTAGTCTAAGATCCTTAGGGAGGGTGTGCTTCCTCTGTCGTTATACTCACAGCAGCGTGCTATAAGTGCCACTTAGGTCTTCACTGTTTGAGGGCATTGGAGACAGTGTGTATCTACACCAGGCTTACCTACCCAGGTTATGGTAGGTGCCTAAAGATGCTTAGTGTGATATATTTACTACTGGTACTTGCCCTAGCCTCTGCGGCTTTACCTGATTCCAGGAGAATGGTGAAGGAGGTATGAATTTTGCTTCATGGCATTTACATAACCTTACATGAGAAACAAGAGTTCTGAAAATTCTATCTGTTAGTGGCCATTATGAATTGTTAGAGATTCCTGGCTCTAGACAGGAGCATTTTTCTTTAATCCTGGGATACTGGAAGCATAAGGATTTAAAGAGAGGAGGAGAAACAGGAAAGTGGTTCTAGAACTGGAGGAAATATTTATCCCTCTTTCCCCAGCATCCCTCTTGGCTGCAGATGCCTTCATAGTCCATTCTTGTAGCAAAAGGCCTAATGTTACTAATTTTATCTCACCAAAAAGTGCTCTAAGGGTTAAACTTCTAACCTCTTTCTCAGCATACAATCCTCTTTGGAAATAGGATCTTGAAAGAAGTAAAAATGATTTTGTTACTGTGGGCCCTATCCAATATGACTGGTGTTCATATTAAAAGTGGAAATTTGTACAAAGATAGACACTCACAGAAGAAAGACAATGTGTACACACAGTGAGAAGACCAAATAAGGCAAGGGATTGGAGCATTGCATTGACAACTTAAGTAACAGCAAAGACTGCCAGATATCACCAGAAGGTAAGGAAAAGGATTATCCTACAGTTTCCAGAGGGAACATAGCCAGTAGACACCTTGATTTGGGATGTCCAGCATCCTTGACTATAAGAGAAGAAATAACTGTTGTTTAGGGCCACCCAGTGTGTGGTGCTTAGTTATAGCAGCTGAGAATTTAATATATTTGATAATGAAAGGAGTGACCACTGCTCTGCTGCACAGGCTCTTCCTGTGCTTCTCATATCACCCAAGACTTGACATAACATCCAGGTATGGTCTATGTCTGACCCTAGGGTAGGAACCACAGCCTTCAATCAATTGACCCAGCTAATAAGAGTTTACTTTCCTACCTGGGTATAGAAAAGATTAATTCTTTCAGTGGCTTCCAGGAGCTCCTTTTCTGCCAGCCTACGCCCACGCTCCGCCTGTTCTTGCAAGGATCTCAGTTCCTCTAGTTCAGACTGAAGAAGAGAATTGCGCTGCTCAGCCACAGCCACCTGCTCCTTCAGGTCATTGTTCAGGCGTGTGCTGTCATCCAGGTGCACTTTAAGGTCCTACAAGAGAAAATATGGGTCTGAAATGCGTACTACTCTGAGTTCAATGTGAGATGTGCACCTTGCATACATAGTCTAAGCAGAGCTCCACTTACTGGAATGTAAGTATGTTCCAACTGTCTTGAAGGATGAGATTGCTGTCCTCACCTTTACTGCTCAGCAGAATCTGTTTCTTAGTTGGTTACAGTCATGCAGAGGCATTTCCAACTCTACCCTATGTGACAGTAGGAAATACCTTCATTTGACTCTGAAGCTGGCCCAGGGATTTGGTGGTTTGTGACAGCTGCCGGTTGGCAGAGCAAAGCTGGAGCTCCATCTCTTTCAGTTCCCCTTCCATCTTATTCTTTAGCCTAGTAGCCTCAATTCTGCTCCTAGTTTCAGAATCCAGACTAGATTGCAGGGAGTCAATAGCACATTGTTGTTTTTTCCTAATTTCAGAAAAACATTCAGGAGGAAAACATCACATATTCAAATTAAGAAAAATTACTTGCTATGTTTGCAACAGTTTAGTAGGATGTGGAAATAAAACATTAAAAAACTTAATAATTAACAAAATAAGATTAAAAGGTTTATATATTTTATAAACAGAGAAGGTTTGGTGTTAGGTTAAGTGAGCCTATGCCCATCATAACAGGTTAAGTAAGGCTTCCATCCAAATTCTGCAAAGAATCAAGGAACCACCAGAATTTTTTCCAGGTTCCTGAGGGACAGTGTTAGGCTCATCTTAGATACTCTTTCAAATATCTAGGGGAACCCCCTAGATTTCCTAAAGTGACTAAAGATTAAGGTTGAATTTCCTTTTAGGCAGCCATAATATTTATTTAATCTACTTCTAATTATAAAATAAAAATGTCTCAACAGCACAATAAACAGCTAGTGAGATTGGGGTTGAAACAACTCTTGCAATCCAGCAATATTGTTCTAAGGGTCTATGGATAGTGAGTTTCCTACAATAGCATGCTTATCTCTCTCTATGAGTTTGAGAGACATGAAATTGACTGAGAAAACTACATGCTACATGATATTGAATTATTTTAGTGTTTCTTCATAAAAACAAAAGCCCTGCAAAAAACCACATTTGCAAAGTGACAGAATCTCAGATAATAGCTGTGTGTTCAGAAAGGCAATGAGAATTTTGTGGAACTCATGGAAAATTTGAATACTCTACACTCTTGAAGATATTTTGAGACCATGGAACTGAATTTTAGTTGATGGATGGGGACAGTAGGAGGCATACTGTTAAAAGCTTCATCTATACAAATTTTTACTTATGTGAGTCTGCCATTTCTTTCCATAATTGGTAGCATCACAAAGTTGAAAGCACTTGGTTTCCAGAATTACTTTGAATAGAGATTGACTTTCCATCTTACCCCACTTTGGACTCTGACTTGAGCAAAAATTAATTTCTACTGCTTAAACTCGTGAAGATTTGGTGTTGTTCATCAGGACAGTTTAGCTGCTATCACTAACACATGCCCTATTAAGCTCATCCCATTAAACAGGGCCCTGGTGCTGGACAGAAAAGATAGAAGGGAAAACAGAGAAGTTCTCCTATCTGTATAGTGTTCCTCAAAGAGTCAGAACAAATAGTTAAAGTGTATTTGTCTTAGGTCAGAATGAGATTCCACATCAAATTGTCATAGAACCTGCATCCTAATATCTGAGGCTGATTTGAAAGGTATACATCCTACAGGTGAGTAGGAGTATGGTCAGAGTTTGCACTTGGGTCACAGGTAGGGATTGACTTTTTATGACCACTTTTTTCTTATGTGGAGAGGGGCCTCCAAAGCAATTAATGAAATGTATAAGAAATAAGTCTTTCTGGTTCCATAACCCAGGGAGCCCAAACACATCTCCCTAACCCCCACAAGCTAAGGTTTAATTTTCATGCCTATACTTAGGCACTGGAATTTTGTTCAGCTCCAGATCATAATCCTACAGGCCTGGAAGTACATAAAGTTAACTGGAACTGTTACAGGCTGAACTGCATATCCCCCCAAATTCATATACTCAAGTCCCAAATCCCAGTACCTCAATGTGAATTGTATTTGGAGGCAGGGCATTTAAAGATCCATACAAGGTCCTTTAAAAAGTTAGTTCAGATAAAATAAGGCTGTTAGGGTAGGGCTTTAATCCAATAGCACTGGTATACTCATAGAAGAGGAAGACACTAGGGACGTGTGCACACAGAGGAAAGATAATGTTGGGAACACATTGAGAAGGCAAACATCTTGGCCATAAGGCAAGGACAGAGGCCTCAGGAGAAACCAAACCAGTCTCCTCCTTCATCTTAGATTTACAAGCCACAGAACTGTGAGGAAATTAATTTGTGTTGTATTAGCACCCAGTTTATAAGATTTTTTGTTATGACAACTCTTGCCAATTAACATAGAGACATTCATATTTAACATCACTAAATGCTTTAAAACACAACTGTCTTTCACTGGAGAAACTCATTTTTCCACAGCCAAATTTCTAGGAACACCAACGCATGATTGGCTTGGTGTAGAAATCCTCTGTACTGAAATACATTATTCTACTGCAGCAAGGTGACTGTTTCAAATATTCTTTATGTAACTTCATGAGTGCCTGAAGACCAGTAAAAAGTGCTATGGTTTAAGAAGTATGAAATGACACAGGGGGAGAATGCTTGTTACACAATCAACACATTTCATGAAAAATCAAGAAATTTTCAAAATGAAAAATCCCTCAAGTACACTTTTTAATGAAAAATAAAGCACTGATGACCAAGGACAATATAGCAATATATTCCTCCTTTTGGAAATAGTAACAGAGAAGAAGCCAAATTTTGAAAAAACTGAAAATCTCATGATTTCAAATCAATAGTTCAATAGGCTCTTTTTTCTTTTGCAATATTGCTCATGTATGTTAGAGAAACATGGTATTTTCCTTGATCCAAATATGCAGACTGTAGCTTTTCTGACATATGGTTTTGACTTAAAGGAATTAATCAGATGGATATTATAATCATCATGAATTCCATGTGTGTACAATTGTGCCTTTGATTTGTAGAGTATGAAGCACTTTACCACATCTTTCTCAACACCTTCTGTGAGATGTAGAATGGCTTTTATTCTTCTGCTTCCTTGAGAAGTTAAGGAATAGAATGTCTAAAGTTATCAGCTTATTCTGATAAAGTTAAGGAAAAATCCAGCACCTGTGAGTCCTGTCTAATTCAGTTTTCTGACTACTAATACTATCTCAGCTGTTTCAACAGAGATTCACTTAGCTTTTAGATCTGCCTCTCCAAACAGCCAGGAGCATATGAACACTCCCTGATTGAACATTAACTTTAATGTACACAACCAAGTTTTAGTCTTTTTATCCATGGTTCAGCATTTTCAGTCAATTTCTTCAGAGTCCAAGAGAGGGACTTTTTACAGGAGACCTGACATTATACTCAGTCCTGTGTGTGTGTGTGTGTGTGTGTGTGTGTGTGTGTTTATCCCAAGTCTCATATGAAAGCAAAAGGTGCTTGAATATAAGAAATCCACAAAAATTAGCAGTTATTGTGTATAGTGGCACACATAATAGAAAATTCTAGTATAGATTTAGAACTCATTTCTTTGGTAATGCTCCCACAGAAGTCACAACATCGGTCAAACACAATGTGTTCTGTTCCCATAAGGATTCTGAAATATGTAACTCTTCTCATCCAAATAGTCTTAAATACCTAATTTTTTCAATTTCTTCTTCTTTCTCTGAAAGCTTTTGTTCAAATTCTGCTTTTGATTCCAATAGTTCATGCTGGAAATGAAGAATTTTGCTTTCTTCTGTTTCTAGAACTCCCTGGATAAAAAAAAATAAAAAGCATTAGATAAAATGCCTTTTTGTACAAAAGTTTTTTTTTTCTCAATGTATGTCACAATGTAGCTCTCTTCAGAGTTACTGGGGAGATCTAGTTTTAAATCATGTCTTTAAATTGAACAGATGAAAGACAAGTGACTATTTCATTGTCATTCATAGCTTTGACAGCTTAGGTCTTTCAGCAGTATCTCAAGAACTAGAATTCCAAAGTATTTTATCAAACTTTTCATCTGTCTGTGAATATATTTAAATGCTTAATTTCTTGGTCTTGAATTTTTCTACTATATTCTATCTTTGGGTGATCAACAAAAATTATCAAAGCTAGAAGCTGAAGGTAATAACTCCTACCTGAAATATTTTATTAAATATGGACATCCACTCATCCAAATAGTCTTAAATACCTAATTTTTTCAATTTCTTCTTCTTTCTCTGAAAGCTTTTGTTCAAATTCTGCTTTTGATTCCAATAGTTCATGCTGGAAATGAAGAATTTTGCTTTCATTCCGTTCTAGAACTCCCTGGGATAAAAAAAATAAAAAGCATTAGATAAAATGCCTTTTTGTACAAAAGTTTTATTTTTTCTCAAAATGTATGTCACTAATGTAGCTCTCTTCAGAGTTACTGGGGGAGATCTAGTTTTAAATCATGTCTTTAAAATTGGAACAGGATGAAAGACAAGTGACTATTTTCATTTGTCACTTCATTTATAGCTTTGACATCCTTAGGTCTTTCAGCAGTATCTCAAGAACTAGAATTCCAAAGTATTTTTAATACAACATTTTAATCTGTCTGTGAATATATTTAAATGCTTACATTTCTTGGTCTTGAATTTTTCTAATATATTCTATCTTTGGGGTGAATCAACAAAAAAATTATCAAAGCTAGAAGATGGAAGGTAATAACTCCTACCTGAAATATTTTATTTAAATATGGACATCCAAGAGGGTCAGAAGATAAGTTTAATGCATTCAGAGAGCAAATAACACTATAAAACCCAAATACCATCATATGCAGAACTAATAAAGGAATTTAGGATCTACTTCACACATAACACTTAGTGTAAACCATTATCACCTTAAATACTAATATTACTACAAATGGATTGCTTTGACAGAAGATCCCCTAAGTCTCTGAGTATTTAAATACAGGCCAGGGAATTATTGCCAGGGATGTCATAAAGGTGATTTAATTTTAAAAGGGTAAGTTTGATGAAATCTTTAAAGACAGTTCCAAACATAAAATATATATAAAAGAAGAAATCAAAATAAAACAGTTGGAGGATTCTTATGATGTAAGGGCACAAGTGTGATACAATCTATTAATTAGTTAACTGGAAATTTCTGAACATAGGGGAAGTTTACTTTTTATAGCTTGCACTGAGAAGTACTTAACACACACCACCAGAGGTAAAGAAAGGAAAATTGAGCAGCAATGTTCCAATAAAAAATAATGGCATAGCCAACAGGGCATGTGTCTGCCTGGGAAAAAAGCTGTCTGGCAGTTTCTCCTTTTTTATCTTTCAATAAGCACAGCATCAACCAGAATCAAACTCTGTGACATCCTGGACCCCTAACTTGTGGAAAGCCTCCCTGTGTCCAGCTGTGCTGAACCCAGTCCCAGGAAGTGTCTGCCTTGAGAAAAGCAGCACACTATTTCTCCCTGCCAGTCAGTTTCAAAGAACCTGTGTAAACCTGCAGACCCAACAGATGAGCACCAAACACCACTCACGACTCCCCTACTCACTCTCCCGGGAACATAAACCCACACAGCCCCCTTGGCAGATTGAACTCCTTCCCCCAAACAAAAGTGAAAAGCATAATCAATGAATTGTAATCTAACACTGAAATGGGGTGGGGTGGAATGCTGAACCTGCCCAGGAGAACAGGGGTGGGACAATTTGCTTAACTCTCAGTGAACAAAGACATGAAAAGTAACAAAGGCTGAGAGCAGGGGTGGGGTGACAAGCCAACCTCCCAAAAGCAGGGCCATGGTGGATCACTGAGTTAGTCTCATGGGTCTGAGTGCTGAATTCAAAACTGAATTGCCCCACCTTGCTGGGGGAGGAGCTGAGCAGCCAGAGTTGCAACTATAGGGCAACACAGCTGCTTCCTGGCAAAAACAACAATGGATCTGACCACCTTGCACAAACTGGCAGTGATTTACCTCAGGTCCCAATTGCAACCTGCCCTGAGAACAGTAGGAACCAAATACTGCTCACAAGCCAGTCACCTGGAGAGACCACTTCAAGGCTCCCACTTGCAACAGATGTTTCATAAGACCAAGGAAAGTGGAAAGAAAACCACTCCAACCATCTCCACCACAAGCTGTCCAACAACAGGGGCAGCACCCTGCCCCACAAAGGCCAGAATAACAGGATTTGACACCAAAGGAATAAGTCCAGAACTTTTACCAAGCAGACTGAACTTTTAGTTGTTGCTGTACCTGTTTTTCCCCCTGTATTATTAACTTTACTATCACTATTTTCTTACCCCCATTCTTACCCCCTTCACTTTCCCTCCTTTTCTTGTGCTACAATCCATTGTTCTCCCTCCCAACTACTCTTTCTGCCCTTCTCATCCACTCTTTTCCTATCTTTGCCTCCCCCTCCTATCCTTCACCAAACCTGTGAACACACTACTCCTCCCTTCTACACACTCACTGCCTGCTGTATAGCCCCCTCCAATCTCTAACACAAGCACCCTGCACTATACAGCAGAAATATACTCAAACACATACAAGGGCCACAAAATCCAGCAGCTCCCATTACCACTTCCCCCACCCACCCCTTTTGTCCCCCATTTTTAGTGACAATTACCAAATTTACCAATTACCAAAGATGCTATCACTAACAAACAACCATTATCAACCCCAACTCCACTGTTTATGGATATTATAAACAGTTTATTATACATAAAAGCGGTTTTATATGTAATAAGTAAACAACTAGTCTAGCACTGAACCTGTGAATTCGATATTGCTAATTTACACCTCCAGGCCAGGGACAGGAAGAGCACATCAACCAAGCTAACAACTAAAAAAATTAAATGAAGGAAAAGGAAACAGGCAATTAAAATCACCAACTAGACAAGAACATAGTTGCACAGCACCAATTGGAGTGATGGAGAGAAGATGAACAGAAGGAAACTATACTCCTCAAAAAAACAATTCAATGGAGAATCTAGTGGGAAATGAAGAAAATGGATGCCCAGTTCCTGACCCCAACAAAACAATGCTAAGTGTCACTAATAATCCCAGTGACACTCACAAGAAAATCCCTCAAAAAGGAAATCAGGGAAGAGGACGCTGAGAAACATACAATGCCAACAACATACAATGGAGGAAACACAGCATCTTCAACAAATGTTGCAGAGAATAGTGGTTATCTGCCTGAAGAAAACTGAAACTAGATCCATGACTATCACCCTATGCTAGTATCACCTCAAAGTTGATTTAGGACCTTAATATCAGACCTGAAACCTTGAGGTTAGTACAGGAAAGAGCAGAGAATACACTGGAAGCAAAAGGCACAGGCAAGGACTTCCTCAGTAGAACTTAAGAGGCTCAACAACTAAAAGAAAGGATTGACAAATGGACTACATGAAATTAAAAAGCTTCTACACAACAAGAAATGGTCTCTAAATTGAAGAGACTACCCACAGAACGGGAGAAAATCTTTGCTAGCTATACAAGGAAGGGACTGATAACAAGAATGTACAGAGAGCTCAAAAAACAAAACTCCCCCAAAATAAATGAACTAATAAAGAAGTGGGCAACTGAACAAAACAGAACTTTTTTCAAAGGAAGAAGTCCAAATTGCCAAAAAAAAAAACAAAACAAAAAAAAACACATGAAAAACTGTTCATCATCCCTGGCTATAAAGGAAATGCAAATCAAAACCACACTAAGATTCCACCTCACTCTTGTTAGAATTGCAACCATCAAGAACACCACCAACAACAAATGTTGGCAAGTATGTGGGAAAAGGAACCCTCAAACACTGCTGGTGGGAATACAAGATAGTATAATCACTATGGAAAACAATATGGAGACTTCTTAAAAAAACCTAAAAACAGATCTGCTGTATGATCCAGAAATACCACTCCTAGGGATATACCCGAAAGAATATGACTCAGGTTACTATAAAGGCACCTGCACACCCATGTTTATTGTAGCACTATTCACAATAGCCAAGCTATGGAAACACCCAAGATGGCCCACTACTGACAAATGGATTAAGAAAATGTGGTATTTATACACAATGGAATTTTATTCAGCCACAAAGAGGAATGAAATTTTGTCATTTGCAGAAAGTGGAAATGGAACTGGAGAACATCATCTTAAGTGACATTAGCCTTATAAGGCCAAAATCACATGTTCTCCCTCATATGCAGATTACAGACCTAAAACAATAATATTATTGAACACGGGTCCAATATTATTAGACAGACTATCGGGAATCCATGCAAGGGAGGAATAAGGAATAGGAAGGAAACCAAAAACTTGAATGTGCTTGATGTGCTCACTGTATAGGAGTGAATATAGGCATCTTAAACTGGCAGAGGTCACTATGGGAAGGCACTAGAAAGTAGTGAAGAGGTCTGGTAGAGATGAACCAATTTGGGTTGCAATACACATGTGCATGGAAACAACATAAGGAATCTCCCTGTATAGTTATCTTCACCTCAAACTAGCAAAAATGCTATGGTTTTTCTTTTTATCTTATTTTTTTTCTTCAATAAAATCGAAGAACAAGAGGGTAGAACACGTTCTGCTCGGAGATGGTGCTGGCGGGGGATGTGGGTGAGGGGAAGTGGCGCTGGGGGAGTGGGTGGCACTGGGGGGTGTTTGTGGGGGTAGGTGGTGCTGGGGGCTATGGGTGAGAGAAGGTGACCCACATAATGTATACACATGTAAATATGATAAAATTTAAAAATGTTGAAAATCGTAATGCCTCCTTTGCTCTTCTCTTAATGCTAACTTCAATATAAGCCAAAAGCAAATCTTGGAGAGCAATTTCTTCAAAAGCAATGTTCATATTTCTTCAGGGGGCAATTTTCACCTCTAACCCTCTAGAAAGGCCCTGAAAAAAATGAATCTCTAGAGATGGTGACCTGGGATAATTTGAGTTTAGTTTTAAAAATATGATAAAGTTTTTTATAATGGATCACCCAGAAAATAAGAAATTTACAAATACATGTCCAAATTTATGATGGGGCTGAGATACAACTTGAGAAATACATGACTAATACAGTACATGGCCATCTATTGCTACTAAGTGGTATGAGTGCTGCAGCCTAATGTCACGCTCACCTTTAACATTTATGCTGGTTCATTTAAAATACAAAGTTGTCAATATGTGATTCAGGACTAAAATTGCCCCTATTAATTATTTTCATTGTAATTATATTCAGATCCATACTGTAAAAGTTCTTTTAGTTAACTGGTGACTTCAAAAGTCCCCAGGCAGCATGCCTAGAAAGCCAATGACAAGTAAATGAAACAAAGTTTTCCAACTGTACAATAACCAGTCTTGCAGGTGTATGCCACTGCCAAATTGAAGCGATTCTACATAAAATGTAGAAGCTCTTAGGAGATACTTATGCAGAAAAGAACAAAAGCTGTCCATTTGAAATCTGCATAGAGTAATGTGCACATATCTTCTGCCTTGCTGGTGGTTTTTTACAGAAGTGTATTGGTGATGTAACTAACACAGCAGCCCTTGGGGTCTAGTTTTCTACTACCACACTTTCCAAAGGCCCCTGACTAAAACTGACTGCCAGAATTTTCAAAAATCATTTTCTCTATGGGTGAGTGTGCAGATAGAGGCTAAATGTCAATGTGTCCAGGTGGTTATTCAGTGGTTGAGTCAAGTAAACACAGATCAGTAGAAGAATTCTGCAGAGCTTGTTTTTTTTTTTTTTTTCCAACAGTGGGTGAATTTGTTTCCTTTCTTGTAAATTTGTATTTGGGGGAAATTTAGTATATATTTTGTCATCCTTTTCCCCCATTTGAGGTAGCTCTAGAAAGCAGTGGGTCTTGACCATGACAAGGTTGGCTTTATTTTACAGACATGGTAGGCCAACTTGTAGAAAAAACTTAATATTTTGTGAATTAGCTTGTCTAAAGTTCTTTGAAAATAGTTTTTTCTAAGAGAATCTTTTCAAAGTATTCCTTGATTTTTGATTTAGAAAATAGGGTGATTTCCAGTGTATGACCAATATAAAAGTGATCAATACCAAATATTTTAAATGCATGGTATTTATGTGTTTATTGTGTATTTATTTTATTTGTGAAGATTCTTTTTTTTTTAATCTGTGAAGATTCTCTTTTTTAATCTTAGCTAATAGGAAGACAGCAAACAGCTCAGGGACAGCATCTGCAGAGCTTGTTAACCACCTAACGATTATGACGGGATAAATTCCTTTTTAGTTCATGCTCTTCTCTGGCGTAAAGTCAAAGGACACACAAGGATAAAGCCAGAGACTTTGAATTTATAACACTGAAAACACTCTTGTCAAATAATGTGCACTTAGATGAGCTTTCAGAGACAGATGTCTGAGAACATTACTTGGAATCACACTTCTCCAAATGTTTTTTTGTGGGGGAGAGAAGAGTGTTTTTTACATACTGATTAAATAGTATCTATATGGGTATATATTCTTTCAACTTTGGACAAATATTTGTTGAAGCCATCCTATAGGGCGGCAATGTTCCAGGCCAGTGCTTCTCCAATGCTAATATCCACAGGAAGTCAGTTAAAAATGCAAATTCTGATTCAACCAAACTTGGGACAGGGCTGAGATTCTGAGTTTCTAACAAGATCCTAGGCATTATTTACGTATTTGTTCACATTTTGAGTAGTAACTGTCTAGGCACTGGAGATAAACTAGTGAACAGTATAGTCCTGGTTTCTGTTTTCAATACCAGCAGGAAATTTTCATGCACTAGTGACTATCCTGTTCTCTTGGCCTCAATCTCCTCCTTCGTAAAATGAGGTAAAAGTTTCCTAGGGTTATTACACTGAGCATTGGGCACGGTGCCCCCATGCAGTAATCACTTGAGTAAGTGTCATGGTGTGCTTGAGCTGTTAATACTGGAGTACAGATCATCTGCATTGCCTGATGAGGAAAACCTTCTCTCCTCCCTGGTGATCAGACCTCTGTTTCTTCCAGGGTTGCTTGGGCTTCAGTCTTCTCTTGCTCAATCAGTTTCTTGACTTTTTCCATTTCTGTTAAGTTCTTGGTTGCTTCTTTAACCTGGTTCATGAGATTAGAAATTTGTTCTGGAGAGAAAGGAAAGAACATAGCTCAGTTTCAGACCCATGATATCAGGCACAATAGACTCTTCTTGAAGGCTAACTGGGACCAGTTAGCTTTTGCTGACTTGATGGCAGGGTCACTCCTAGCCCAGAGAAGACCTCTGTTAGAATTAGAAAAAGGCATCCCTTCTTCAACATATTTTTTTGCCATCTACCAGAAAACTGTTTTAACAATTGGTGAGGATGGGGCTTCTTGGAGTCTTGTGCATTGAACAGTCTGTGTAACTTTACATGGTAGCTTTGCTTGTTAGGGCCTTGCCAGTTCTACCTATAGGTACTCTCAGACACAGACTCTGCACTTCAGTAGATGTGCTCAGCTGTCAACACCAGTGCCTGCCATTATATCAGCCACTACTCAATACTGGGACAGGAACTTAAAGCTTAAGACAGGTCACTGTCTGCCAGCAGCCAAAACATCACCCAGAAAGGATAGATTAATAGAGGGTCTCTCTATTAACTGAAGCACATGACCGTTCTGGCTAGTCTCTCATGAACACAGGCCTTTGACAGAGAGAGGAAACCAAAAGTGACATATCTCAGCCACCTTATATTGTATTGTTATTGTTGAGTCTGACTCTTCATGAAGGGAAGCTCTAGTACCTAAGAGGTGTGATATAAAGCCAGGTAGCTCAGGTAAGAGACTGTGGAGGGAGCAAGAGCTTTCCTGTTCCTCTGGTAATCCTGGGTTATGATGAGATGTGTCAAGAATTTTTAAAAATTACACAAATATACATATACACAGAGGGACCGAGGGAGAGAGAGAACACATTAGATGAGAATTCTCTTGAGAACTGTAATCCTTCTCTGATAAGCCCTCTCAACAGAGGAGTTCCCTAGGGAAAACTCAGAGCAGGTTTTTCTCAATTTCCAATTACCTGCAAAACTAAAAAAACTCAAGTCCATCCTCCCCCAGACCAACTGCAGTCACCAAACCAGCATCATTGGTCTCCCCTTGGAATTTATTAGAAATGTAAATTCCTAGGCTCCATCTCAAACCTACAGAATCAGAAACTTTGGGATGGTCCCCAGACACCTATATTTCAGCAAGCATTCCAGATATTTTGGCAAAATAGAGTTTCCTAAGCACTGTTCTAACACCTCTCAAATGCCCAGTTAGTGACCTGATCATAGAAGACATAAGTCAACAGAGAGGAAGTTTCGGTTACACCTCCAATAGTAGTGATCTCGCTTCCAGGCATTCCAGCGTTTTCATGCAAATCATATTGGTGCTAGGTCTAAGTAGACAGCTTCACTGATTTGCTGTTTGGCAATATATCAGAATTTTAGAATTCATTTCTTTATCCTAGCAATTTCATTTTCTAGGGATGTATCCTACTAAACATTTTACATGTGCATAAATGAATGTATAATATAGCATTATTCCAATTGTGAATAATCAGATCTCAAATGAATAAGATCTAGTTAAATAAGTGTTGGTCATCCATATTATAGAAAAATATACAGCTTTTAAAATGTAGTGGCAGGTCTCCATGGGCATGCTTGCAGATAAATAAGAAGATAAATGGGAGTAGCAAAGCTTAGGCATTAAGTGTGTACATACTTAATATACCCAGGTGGCTGGGTTCAAATCTCAGATCTGCTCCTTATCAACCAGAAATTCAGACAAGTTACTTAACCTTATGTGATCCAATACTATCTTCATGTAACAGATGACAGAAGTACCACCAAGATTCTGCTGAGGGTTAAACAATGAATCATTGAATATAGAACAGTGCCTGACATGTACGTGGTCTACAAGAATATTTGTTGGATGGGACCTGGAGGCACATGCCTATTATCCTTGCTACTTTGGGAGGCAAAAATATGATGATCATGGTTCCAGGCCATCACAGGCAAAAAGGTAGCAAGACCCTATCTCAAAAATAAGCTGGGTGTGGTGGTACATGCCTATAATCCCAATACTTGGGAGGCAAAGGAAGAAGGGTCATGGTCTAAGGCTGTCCCAGGCAAAAGTACAAGGCAGTATCTAAAAAACTAAAAGCACAAAGGACTGGTGGTATGGTTTAAGTGGCAGAGCACTTTCCTAGCAACACCAAGGACAAGTTCAATCCCAGTATGATAAAAAAAAAATTAATTACAAGATATACTGATAATTGAAAAAACAAAAAGTATAGACCAATATATAATTTGGGTAAAATAAATACATGAATATATACATGAAAAATCTTGGTAAATCTGTGACTAGCAAGAAATTCTTAAAGAGTGGCTCCCTTTACAGCATAGAACTGTAACTAAAGGTATAAAAATCAGTCTTACTTCTAGAATGAATTAAACACAAATAAAATTTATAGTATGAAAATTCAAAATGAAGTAATAAAACTTGAAAAGCTAAAACATGAGTGGAAATTATGAAAATGCTAAGCCTTTCTGCCCTCAGAGGACAGCCTCGCCAGGTAGCCAGGGTTGTCCCCAGATCCTTGCAGTTGCTTTGGCTGCAAGCCCAGCCGAGAGTACCTTGGAGGTTCTTGTTCTCCAGCCTCAGTGTCTCCTGGCCCTCAGAGCTCTCCTCATAGGCATGCTTGAGCTTGAGGACCTCGGTGCTGAGAGCCCGGGCCTCCTTCTGAGAGGCATCCAGCAAAGCCTGGGACTCCTCGAGCTTCTGCTTCCAGTCAGCAAGGGCCCTGTCAGACTGTTGCTGCTTCTGTTCCAATGCAGTCACCACAGAGCAGGACTTCCCAAGGTCAGATAGGGCATCCCCGAGCTCAAGCTGCAGTTGGTGCCTGACCCTCTCCAGGAAGGCATTCCTGGCATTGGCCACACCTATGTCTTCAGCAGCCTCCTGCAACCTAATTGCCAGCTTCTTCCTGAGAAGAGGAGACCCAAGGGGCCTGTGAGGAAATGACACTCAAAGAGTTCATCAAGTCCGTCCTGGATTAAAGATAGTGATTGATACAAAGCAAGAAGTGCCTCTGAGGCTGGCTTAATAGGAAAAGCTCTGGCAACACTGATCACCATGCTTTGGCTCCAGTACCCACGTGGATTTTATATCCTCATTCATCACTAATCTGGACTTGGAACTCAGGATCACTTTGAATCTTATAAGTATTTGGTTATCCTAAAACTTTAATACAGGCTTGACAGATAATTTCATAAGAAGTGGGAGAAATAAGATTGTTCAACTACCTAAAAATCCTTTGGCCTGTTGAGTCTCTAAACGAGCTGCTTGGTTGTGCTGCTTCCAAGGAACAGCATTTTCTGCTCTCCTGAGCATTGTCTCTCTCTCTCATGTTGCTACAGAACATGAAACAATTCTCTCTTCTCTCTGAATGTCTTCTTCCCACCAGCCCCTTTCCCAGATTCATATCAATCCCAGATCCACCCCAACATGATGCTCACTTAACCCATCCCCCTGATCTTTAGTGGTCCTTAGGCTTCTCTGTGTTCCACCAGCATCCCATACAGTTGAGTGGTTTATCAAAATGCCTCCTCCAACACCACCACCCACAATAAAGCACTCTTAAGAAGTCTACTGAATGGAATATGTTCTCTAGCTTGTATCTCCTAAAGGATTGCTGGCTGTCTCATTTTTGCTCCATCATTAGACTTCTTAAAATAAAAGGAACTGTATCTACCAAAGCTTTTCTGCTATGTTATTACAAAACTGGAAAAGGACTTTGGGAATTAAGATGTACCACACAACTATCCCCAAAGAGCAATGTGGTTAGCATCTTGAAAGGCAATAGACTCCAACAAAAGCCCTTGTTCACTGGTTTTCTGACAATGTGAGTTAATTTCTTTGCTTCATTCTTCTGAAGAGGAGATTCTGATGCTTAACCTAACTTAAAGCAGGAGTCTTGTAAAATAATTATATTTTAAGTACTTTAGAAATGGTATATTGGTACCAGAAAATAGGTTTTTTTGGGGTGACCAACCATGCTGGTTTTGCTGAGGACTAAGGAGTGTTTCGCTATGACTTGAGATTTTCAACATTAAAACTGGGAAATTCCAGGGCAAACTGGGCAGATTGATTGTTTCATTTTACTGATAATTTTTTCTACATTTAACACCAACTACTATTTTGCTTCTTAAATTACCAATGATAGTACCTACTTTGTTGCTTTAAATATGTAAAGGAATATGAAAGATTAAGGAGTCAAATTCTTAACTTTGTAGAACTTAGAACTCAGAACCAGTAACTGGGTTTTAGGTAAGTTTGATTCTGCTACATATCATATGAAACTTAGCTTGGAACACAAAACAGGCAGATCTTCGACTTTGCAATTTGAAAAACAGGATCTTAGTTTTTTTGTAGATGCCTACTTCCCTGAGGTGATTTAGAGGAAAAGCATGATACAGTACAGCTTTTTATTTATGTAATGTTCAAATAATTTTAAAATAAAAAGGTGTCCAGATAGTACCATTATTTCTCTTATTGGTCATAAACTATAGCACTAGTTACAACAAAGTTGTGAATTAATGAAACATTCCCCCTTCTTTCCTTCTTTTCTACACAACCCCCAAAGAATCCATTGAATAGAATGGCAGGTAGACACTTTGATTTGAGATTTTTCAATCATTAGAAGGGAAAATACATTTATAATCAAAGGACAGATTTGGATATAAGGCAGCATTTCAATTCAAAACCCCATTTTTCCAGGATCAAGAGTTTTATAAAACACCAATTACACATATTTTTAGTATCTGTCATTCCAAAGCCCTTTTTAAGTTACTGTGGATACAGAGATGCATCACTTGGTACCCCTTTAGGGACAGAACACAGCAGTGTTCTGCAACTGCACAGCAATACCACTAAAATATTTAGGTAAAGAACTAAAAAAAAAAAACATTATTTCTGGTTGAAGTTAAAGAGAAATGTATTGATCTGCCCTGGGTTTTTGCCGAGCTCCCAAACCAGGGTCATATTCTTTTGATTAAGCCTTTAATGATTATGAGCTGGGGTTAGTTTGACACTTTCTCTCAAAGATTCACAATCACTCAATATATAAGCTAAATACTTCAGTACTATACTCTGAGTTTTGGTTCAACTAGTCTTCAAGCTGTTGTAGTTCCTGAGAAGAACTTTCAAAACTTTTTTGTGGCATTGGCTATAAACTGATATTTGAACCTTAGGGATAGCCTGGGGACTATTTCTTTTTCAAAGCAATCTTTGTACCATAAGACATGATGAAAGATGCTAACATGTTTCTAACTATCCCTGTCCTTTATAGAACACTTTGACTACAAGTCATATGCCAGAGATACAATGACTGTGCTATATGGATATATGTATTACATGGACTCAATCATTTTCATGTACCAAATGAACTTTAAGAAATAGCCCAGTTTTCAAAGCATAGCTCAGGCACATCTTCTATGAAGAGTTTGCTTGTACTCCTAGCAAAAGCCTCCTTTCTTTCGCCAAGAGCTTTTTAAATCTCTATTACTTTGTATTATAATTTTTAGCCCCATAAGAGTATATGCTTCTTGTGTAGTGCATACTCCAGCTTTGAACAGGACTTGTTCATGCACTCAGCAGATGTATTAATACATACCATAATTCACAGTCATTATTCTTATAGTCCTATATGTAACCAAGTTCAGGTTAAAGAAAGTCTTGCCCTACTCACTTGGCATCTTCCAAGTCTTCAGTTTTCTGGATGGCATCATGTTCATACTTCATTCTCCACTGCACCACTTCAGTATTGCCTTTGGACAGGGCCCTATGCAGCTCAGCCTTGACCTCTTGTTCTTCCTCATACTGTTCTCGAAGAAGGTCAAAGTCATGCTTGGCTGATTGCAGGGCATGGGCCAGGGCAATCTGAGACTGTAGGGGATATATGTTGAAAAGAAAATAAAAGCACCACTATAATTAACAATAAAAATTTTTTAAAAACCCACTATTGAACACTATCCAATGTGGTAATCAGTAGCTAATGTGACTATTGAGTATTCAAAATGTGCCCAGTACACTTCATGGTAAAACAGAAACTGTTATTTAAGTTTAGGTAATATATACTTAAAATTAGATTTATATAACTACCTATAGTACATTAGTGGCCCTTATATGTATTGGACAGCAGAGCTGAATTTAATGAACATATCTATCAGTTAAATTGTGGTCTGACCTTATGGGTACTTTTGAAAAATCAGGAAAAAAGCATCATCTTAGACAGCTAGAGTTCTGAAGGCACAAGGCTTAGTTAATGCATCCTTAGCCAGATATCCTTAGGTGGTGAGTGAGGAGCAACAGTATACAGTGATGTTGAGAAAGACACAGACTTTTGAATCAAGTAAACTTGGGTTCAAATTATGGCCTTTCTTGAGAGTTTATTGTAATTATTAGTGTTATAGAAGTAGAGGAGATAAAAACAAAGCTGCTGCTCTAAGGAGCCAAAAAGAAACAAGGGGATATACAAAAAAAATGTAAAAAATTAATAAATAGCATAAAAATGAAATAAAACAGATGGGCATGGTGTAGAATATTTGGCTCCTTGTCATCAATCTCTAAAGACCTTGGGAAAAGTCATTTAAACAATGGTAGTAGGAGTTACAAAAGTGCTAAAGTAGAAATACTGGAGGCTTGTGTAAGAGGCAAACAGAAGCCCAGGGCAGCCAGAGAATAGCAAATGGGAGAAGCAGGTGGGTGAGGTAAGGTCACAGGAGGAGGCTGGAATGAGATTGTGATGGGATCTTGTAGGGCAATTGGAAGGCACTGGGAACACAGTCAGACAGTTTTCTAAAATATAAATCAAATCTTTACTGAGTAAATTTCTTCTCAGTTTATATTATCTGTATGACCTTGAACAAATTGTATGTCTTTTTAGAGCCTTGGTTTTTTCACATATAAAGATATAATTCTACTAGCTTCATATAAGTGATAAAAAGAGTGAGATAACATGAGAGAAGTATCTAGTACAATGTCTGATGTACAAACAGTGGTAGTAATTTAACATTTTATAAACAGTAGATTCCAAGATGACCAAATAGAGATACCCAGTACTTGCCTTCTCCTCCTCGTCCCCTACAAAGAATAACAAAAACAACAATGGACAACTGCATTTTGAGGTGACTGGGCAAGGGAGAGAGCACTAGAACTCAGCAAGGGATAGATAAGAACCCTGTAAGACATGGAGACCTGGGATGGCAGCATACAGAGAGAAACAAAGTACATCAGCAACCATGACCATAGCTCCCAATAGGATAAGAAGGAGTCCCTATTCCAGGGTAAATGGAAGTATCCCAGTGGACCCCATTTTTGTAACCACTGGCATTCCTAGCTATAGAATGGTTCCACAGTCATCACAGGCCAAGAATACAGTTAGGAAAGATACCTGGAGATGCATGGTAACTTTGCTTCAAAAAAGGAAATCACATTGCCTCTTTCCCCTATTTCCTAACGCTCAGGCTATTGCAATGCAGTGCCATCTTGTGAAAACAGACACAATGGAATTCATACTATCCTAGGGGTCAGAAGCCTCAGCATATCCAATATCCTTCAGGCCCCAGACATATTCCATCACACTAACATAAATTACTGCACTATCACAAATGAAACTAGACCTGGAGTAAACTGTGACCTCCAAACTCAAGCCCACATGATGCCTTAAAACACAGGGACATGGAGTTCAGCATTGTGAGGAAATAGTGCTGTCCCCCAGGCCTGAGAAACCAAGATACTTGTACCCTAGAACCTAAGGATTGGGCCCCTTTTCTACCCTCAACTTCCCACTGCTACCATCAAATTGTCCCATTATTGGGCATGGAGGTATACAAAGACATTGATTATAGCTAGAGAAGCTATAAGGAGATTACACTACTGTGCCCAAGTGGAACCAAAGTCAACATAACCTTGCAAACCTACATCCTTGATTCATCTGCAGGAGAAAGTCTCCATTATGAAAGCCACTTTATAAAAGTGGTAGAGACAACTCAACTGCCAGATGTGCAAATATCCATATAGGGACATGAGCAGAATGAAAGAGCAGCCAATATGACTCCTCCAAGAGATACAATAACTCTCTAGCAACACAACCCAAAGAAAATGATATTGATAAAATAACTGGCAAAAAACTTAAAAAATAGGATTCTAATGAAATAAAAGAGAATATAGACAATTCAGTGAAATTAGGAGAATAATTAATCTTATGATGAGAAATTCAACAAGGACATAGGAATTGTGAAAAGAACTAAATAGAAATTCTGAAACTGAAGAACTCAATAAGTCAAATATAAAATACAGTTAAGAGCCTCAAGCAGAAGAATTTCTGAACTTGCAGACAGATCTTGAAATATCCCAGGCAAAACCAAATAAATTTAAAAGTATGAAGAAAGACTCCAAGACTTCTGAAACACCATTAAGCAAACAAAAAGATATTTAAATTGCAGAGATTTGGTAAACTGAAGGGAAAAGGCAAAGAAAACCTGTCCCATAAAATAATAGGTGAAAAATCCCTCAATCTTGGAAAAGATAGTGGACATTTAGGTTGAGGAGCATCAAAGGACCTCAAGTAGTTTGGGCCAAAAATGGCCCTCCCTGGGGCGTATTATTCTCAAACTAGTAAAAATCCAAAAAAAGAAAGAGTTCTAAAAACAACACAAGAAAAGCACCATGTCACATTAAGGGGACCCCAGCTAGACTAATAGATTTCTCAGAAAACAACATTACAGTCCAAAAGAAAATGGAATGTCAAATTTCTAAGAGAAAAAAATGCCAACTAAGAATATTTATAGCCAGCAAAACTCACCTTCAGCAATGAAAGAGATGTAAAGAATATTCAAGGTAAGCAAAAATTGAAGGATTTCACCACTGGTAGATTGGTCTCACAAGAAATACAGAGAAATAAAGAGTAATACATCTCAAAGTGAAGAAAAATATCTACCACCATAAACACACACACAATTGCTTAGAAAATAAGAATAAGAATTGAAAAACGAGATTGCATCAAATTAAAAAACTTCTGCACAGCAAAGGTAACAACTCCTATACTCAAAAGAAAGCCTGCATAATGTAAGAAAATCTCTGGCCATTATTCATTGGATAAAAGAATAATACTTGGAATATATAAAAATCTCAAAAAATTAAACATCTAAAGAACAAATAACACAATTAATAAAGGGACTGATGAATTCAACAAATACATATGCATATGCAATGAAAAATCTAAAGATTCTGCAAAAGACTATCAGCTCTGATAAATTTAGTGAACTTACAGTAACAAAATCAACACATGAAACATACAGGAATACGTAGAAATCAATTTAACTAAAGAAGTAAAATATTGCTATATTGCAAATTATAAAACACGGATTCAAGTGTTTTATAATTTTATAGAATATACAAAAGAATGAAAAGACATTCCATGTTCATGGATTAGGAGACTGATATTTTTAACATGACCCAAAGTAGACTACAGGTTCAGTGTAATCCCTACCAAAATACCAATGACATTCCTCCACAGAACTATTTTAAAAATCACCAAATTCATCACATGATGAGGTGAGAGTACACAAGGGAGGTATGAGGATAGGCAAGAAACCCCCCAAAAACAAGATAGCATTTGATGTCCTCAATGCAAAGGAACTAATGCAGAAACTTTAAAGCAACAGAAGTCAATAGGAGAAGGGGACCAGGAACTAGAGAAAAGGTTAGTTTGAGAAGAATTAATTTAGAATGTAACACATATGTACAGGAAAGCAATGCTAATAAACTCTCTGTATAGCTATCCGTATCTCAACTAGCAAAAACCCTTGGTCCTTCCTATTATTGCTTATACTCTCTCTTCAACAAAATTAGAGATAAGGGTAAAATAGTTTCTACCTGGTAGTAAGGGGGTAAGGGAGGAGAAGGGGTGGGGGAGGGAAACGGAGGTGGTTGGAGGAAGGGGGCGAGAAATGACCCAAACATTGTATGTACATATGAATAAAAGAAATTTTAAAAAATCACCAAATTCATATAAACAAAAAATAAACAGAATAGCCAAGGCAATCTGGAGCACAAAAATAAATAGGGCTGGGTTAGTTCAATATTAAATTGTCAGTAAGTTGCAGAACTTAGTTATTTCTTCCTATGCGATATAATTTTGTTAGTAGGTGATGCCAATGAATGTGGTTCTTTTGGGTGAAGATATAATGACTAATATGAGCGATGAATTCATCTTAAGCCCTGGTACTTAAGGCTAATTCTTAGTTGATATTCAAGGTATCCTGTTCACATGTTAATATGTACAATTTTAGGGAAAAAAACAAGAGAAAAATAGTGAGAATGGCCTTGTTCTACATTTTAAAAAAACCTCTTGCTTTTTTTTTTTCCTTTTTCTTTTATTATTCATATGTGCATACAAGGCTTGGTTCATTTCTCCCCCTTGCCCCCACCCCCTCCCTTACCACCCACTCCGCCCCATCCCTCACCTCCCCCAATACCCAGCAGAAACTATTTTGCCCTTATTTCTCATTTTGTTGTAGAGAGAGTATAAGCAATAATAGGAAGGAACAAGGGTTTTTGCTGGTTGAGATAAGGATAGCTATACAGGGCATTGACTCACATTGATTTCCTGAGCGTGGGTGTTACCTTCTAGGTTAATTCTTCTTGAACTAACCTTTTCTCTAGTACCTGTTCCCCTTTTCCTATTGGCCTCAATTGCTTTTAAGGTATCTGCTTTAGTTTCTCTGCGTTGAGGGCAACAAATGCTAGCAAATTTTTTAGGTGTCTTACCTAACCTCACCCCTCCCTAGTGTGCTCTCGCTTTTATCATGTGCTCATAGTCCAATCCCCTTGTTGTGTTTGCCCTTGATCTAATGTCCACATATGAGGGAGAACATACGATTTTTGGTCTTTTGGGCCAGGCTAACCTCACTCAGAATGATGTTCTCCAATTCCATCCATTTACCAGCGAATTCGGTCGAAGAGGACGACCATCCCCGATAGAGGAGGACCGTTCTTCGGTCAAGGGTACACGAGTAGCTGCGTTCCCCTGCTAGAACCTCCAAACAAGCTCTCAAGAACCTCTTGCTTTTAATAAAAGAACATTTTTATCTTTTGTTTAATTCCACTTCTTATTGAACAGTTCAATTCGAATATATAGGATCCTTTCCACCCTTCTGTTCGGGTAATAATACACAATGGAAACATATTTGCTTGCCCTAAATCTGAAAAACTATGGAAGTGATTTGAATTAAGGAAGAAGATCTTTCAGCCACTAGAGTTATTCCTGGCACATACAGGGCCCAACATGGGTTTTTTTTTCCCCATCACATTTATAGCACTTTTCCTTATTCTTTTACAAAACACAACATTGAGGCCGACTAACCAAGCACTACATTTTCAACACATAGTCAAGTCACTGGTGAAAAATAATAGACATATTACTCTGGTTTCTTCTTGTAGCTGCTCTCTCAATTCTTCAATTTGCTGAGTAAAGTTTTTCTTTTCCCTGGAAAGTTGGTTTATCAGAATCTCTTTTTCTTCCAGCCTCTTTTGTAACTCACCTATGGAAAAATTTCATAAAATAAGTTAATCATGATCTTTCTCAGCTATTGCTGCCCTTACTTGACCTGCTTTATGGACAACCATATTGATTCCTACCCATATATATATATATATATATATATATATATATGTGCATATATATATATATATATATATATATATATATATGTACTTAGGAAAGGCCTGAGAATCTTGTTATCAGCAAAATCATGGCAATGAGTCTTTCCAGTATTCACAAGAGACGCAAGAAATGATTTTTAAAAGTAAATATAAGTCAATAATAGATAATATTAGCTACTGTTTATTGAGAAACTTCCATGCTCTAGGTACTTTATATTATTTAGTTTAATTTTCATCCTAAGTCCTAGAGATGTTATATTACCCACTTTACAGAGGAAGAAACACAGCAGCTCACTTACATGTGACTAAAACAGTAACACACATAGCTGGTAACTGGTGGAGGTAGATTCAAATGAAGTTCCTACCCCAAAGAACATATTCTTTCTCCTATGCCATGCTCTTTTGTTTATTATCTTTGGCTACACCAATTTCTGGCTCATTTTATATAATTAAAATTTTTGGCTCATTTGTAAAATGAAGATAACAATGTAATAAAAGGTGAACATTAAATGAGTATGAATGTATTTTGTAGATGAATTGCTAAAAAGACATTGGAAATGGTCATTAAATGGTAAGAAATGTAGCCTTGAGAGCCTTCTCTCACGGGTACCACAATCTATTCTACCTTCCTGTTTCCTTCATTAACTACAGGACACAAATGCCCTGGTTATTAGCAATGTAACCAAAAGTTGAGCCAATTCTAGACAAAGGAAGTTGTTTCTATTAGCACAACACAAAAAGGCCAAAGTATTTACAATTCCCACTCCTCTTGCTCAAACAAGTTATAAAGCTTTCCAAATTATAAGGAATCATCTGCCTGAGGTTAAGCAGCACTTCCCAAACTTTTTGGTCTCAGTCACACATACTATACTTAAAATCATTGAGGACTTCAAAGAGATTTTGTTTACATGGTTCTTGTGATAACAGTGTATTGGAAATTAGAGCAGAGATTAAAAATGATGTTCATATGTTAGTATATACAATTTTAGGGGAAAAGCTATAATTTTCAAAACCAAAAGAAAAATAGTGAAAATGGCCTAGTTCTGTATTTAAAAAAAAAAATCTCTTGCTTAATAAAAGACAGCTGCAGTCTGTTATCTGCTTTTAAATTCAATCTTACAATATATGGTTTTGGTAGAAGTACATGAAGAAAATTCAGCCTTTCCCAGATATGTGGTTAGAAGAGAATGGTGGTGTATTTACATGGCCTTTTCAGATAACTTTGATCATCATTTGATAACACACCAAAACTTAACAAGTTAAAGTCTTTTAAGGGTTAGTTACAGTATGCAATCAAACCACATCAATGAACATATTTTCTCTACTACATTGAAATTCAGTGAAATATCTTAGCCTTTGCCACACATAATTTTACAATGTGGAAGGATGATTTGAAAATATATATTAACTGAACTATGTGGTTCTTTCAAATGTTGACACATATTCCAGAAAAGTATAAAAGAGGAAAAAACAAACTAGTTTTTCTCTACTGTTAGACATTCAACATTTCTGACACCAGGTGTGTCTTCCTCACATACCAAGTAATTTTCCAGTGGACACCAGTTGGGTATCCTACAATTTTACTCATTTGTGACACTATCTCCCTAAGACTGCATCAGATCTACTAGCTGAGAATATAGATAAGACTTCTCCCTCTAGATGACCATAACAAGTCCAGGTTGTCACCTATATTTCTGATCTCATATATATCAGTATTATACATAAGGGTTTCCATGACCTTCTCCTCAGGTTCAACTAATTTACTCACAGAATTCAGAGAAACACCTATGTTTACCTATTTATTATAAAGGGAATTACAAAGGCTACCGCTGAACAGCCAGATGGAAGAGATAGATACATAGGGCCAGGTATAGGAAAAGGGGCACAGAGCTTCCATGTGTGCCCTCTTTGGGCTGCCACTGTCCAGGAACTTCCATTTTCTCAATAATGAAAAACTGGAGAACCTGGATATGTTTTCAAGTTTTGGGGTGTTTTCCTTTGTTAATGTTTTGAGATTTCATTACATAGGAATGAGTGTTTAAATCAGATACCCTGTAATCAACTGAACCTTTAGCCCTTCAAAAGGTCAGAGATAGAACTGACTTTATTGGTGCCTTGGTCTTTCTGGAGACCAGTCCCCATCCTAAGGTTATCTAAGAGGCCCCAGGCATCTCATTAGTATATGAAATATATTCCTCTCTTTAGAAATTCACATATAATATAAAAATCATATTTGTTACAATCACCACTGATCTCATCAGAAAAGTCCTTAATAACTGAAAGGCTTTAAGCACATAATGGCATATATGTTTTCTAATATCTAAGTATTACCTAAAATTCCTATTTTACTTTTGGCAACAAATGTATCTATTGTAACTCTTTGAAGTGACTGGTTTACTTTGCTCTGTTTTGAGAAAATATCTGCCAAACATATAAGTCTGTGTAATCATAGTTTGTTTCTCAACTGTTTTTTTCCAATTAAAGTGATATTCCCTGAAAAATACAGTAGTAGTGTGGTGATTCAGGAGGGTGAGGCAGAAGGATCTCAAATTCCAGACCAGCCTGGTTAAGTAGTGAGATTCTGTCTTAAAAAATGAAAAGCCACTAGCATTGCCCAGAACATAAGATTATCAATTATCATACTCTAGTATGAGACAGAGTTCTTTATGTACACTTTTTGTTTTGTCACACAGAATATTAAAATGTTTTATATACATAAGAGTTGGGAGGTAATAAATTTTTGCTGTTTCACTAAGTACATTCTTAAGTGAATCTGACTTTTACAACCTATTAGTACGTAGTACTGAATAAAATGATTATTAGATCAGTGAGTGTAGTACTACTGATTGAACACATGATAGGTCTTCAGAACTTTTGTCATTGCTGTTGCATTGTAAGGGGACAAGTGTGAGGGGAAATAAAATGGCAGAAATGTCCCTAGGAACTAATGTCAACCCTGGGGATGAAAAGGAACAAATGGCAGAAATAACCCTCGGGGTGTAAAGGGATGGATGGCAGAAGTAACTTTGTTTTAGATAAAGGAGATAGGAAGGCATAGTTAAAAGCAAAACATTTAGGGAAACTGAGAAACCAGCTTTGCACACAGGTGCTAAGGCACAGCAGTTTCTCTTCCTAGATAAGGAAAACAAAATGAAACATTCCTAAAGGCAGACATCTAAGGAATGAGATAGAAACCCCTAAAAGAAAAGTAATATAGCAAACTTTTCCAAGATAAACAAAAAGGGATCTCACCAGAATAATGGGTAGTAGTCATAAAATGTAGGTGATAAGTTTCAAGGACAGGAGGAAGTAAAGAGATCTTCTTGGGATCTCCTTACCTGATAGTGATGGGGGGCAGCCAGATGGTCAGGTTCAGCAAGAAGTTAATCAAACAGCCAATTATAGCTATAGTTTCAAAGTAGATTGGGTGGGGGTGCCTAAAGTCAGGACTCCATTTAAAAACTTCATGTACCTCAGTCATCTGTTGGCTTAACTCTTTCACTAAGTCCCACCCATCAGGGTGCTTTCCTATCCTTTCAATAAATTTTATTCTTTCTTTACTCTTAACTACTGGTCTGGGGCATGAACTTGCTTTAACTCTTAACTGCTTGTCCGGTGCCTTCAATCATTGACTGCACCAGGACACGAACTCTGGGAACAACAATACAGTCTGGTATCAGCATTATTATAACAGGTACATAGTGCTTTTGCTAAAAAGCACTGACACCTTACTTGAACCCATAAATTAACTAAAAGTAGGAGAAAAACTTAGCATCTCTGTCTCTATTTTTGTATCTGTCTTTACTCTGAGCCATTCACCTTGTAGTCACCTTGAAATCCAGGAAGGCCAGTACTGATAAATAACATCTTTATAATAAAGGAATAGAGGAAACTGCCCCCCATAAAAAGGAACAGCAGAGTCTTCCAGGAAAAACCACCCAGGCAATAATGACTTGCTTATCAGGATAAGCAAGATTTCTCCCTTTAAGTGATAACATCTCCAAAACCAGGACTGGGATAGTGATCAACCAGGCCATACTTTGACCAGGATCGTTTAATAATTACACACACCTTTCACTCCCTACCTCAAATTCTTTCTTGAATTAAACCTAAAACTCATGTCTGTACTCCAGAAGTGCTGAAGTGCCTACTTTGCCTCTTCCATGGCATGCAGGAACTGCTCAAACTGCATAATGAGCCTCCTTTCTCTTCCCTTCACCACTACTCATCTCGTATTTGGCATCTTGGGGCAAGTGGCTGAACCTGATATGTGGAACCCCTGAAGTTTGGGCCTACACCTAAAACTTCAGTATTACTATCAACATAAATGGAAAAAAGAATTTTGAAACAAATAGCATCTAAGTATCATAAGAAATAGCTTTAATATCCAAAAGTCCTGAAGGATCTTGAGAATTGCTGGGGGTCAGTAGTTCCAACTTTAGTAGTCGCTAGGTGACATATCATATTTAAAACACTTATGAAGAAATGAAAATAAGGAGGTTGAAACTAAGGAATTATTTATACCATTGAACTAGTACCTATTGGTGACTTAATCAATCATAGGTACTATTGGGCTCCTCTGAAAGCTGAATATGATAAACTCACAGCACACGGTATAGAAACTTAGGTAATAGAAGTAGAAAAGCAGCAAAAACAAACAAACAAAAAAAATGCGAACATAGATCCAGTGAGAAGAAAGGAAGCTTAGAGAAATATATACTTCAAATTTACACAAACACCAAAAGATGAAGAAGTAAAGGAGGAAAGAAAAATGTCCTGTGTCCTAAGCAGAATTATCTCACACTCACTTTTACTTTACTTAGCACCTACCAATTTTCTCATAAAAACCATGAGTATAAAGTTAATGTCAATAACTAGAGGCATGCAACCAGTGCCTATTAAGGGCCTATGTCTCTGGCCCATTCTTCATGGCCAGACATATAAATACTCTCTAGCTTTGTTTCTGGACTGTGGAGTCCACACACTGATAGCATCCTAAATGGCACAGAGGATCAACCTGGGGGATTCATAACAAGGCCAAGGGTCACACACTGTGTGAGCAGTGTGAGAAGGGTCCCATTTGATGTTCTTGTTAAAACCAAAATCACTTTCCTTTTCTAGATTTCTAGGTTTTTCATTTTGCAAACTCATTTCATTTTCATTTCAAACCCTAATAAAAGGAAAATTCTGAGATGTTCTAAATTGAGTTATGGACAGGAAGATGGAAGTTTATGTTGTCTGACATCTTTGAGTTAAAAGCAAGAAAGAAAAGAAAAATGAAAGTTTTCTAATTCCTTTTCTAAATGTTCAAGATTAGTCATCAATGCAACATATCATTATGTTGTAGAACCAACCAATCAAGAATCAACAAGCGCTTCTTCTTATGGACTATCCTCATACCCTGGGATCTTACCTGCTTCCTGTTCCTTTATTCCTCTTATCAATAACCAATGCAAGTAGCAGTTTAATGTAAGTGATTTATGCCTTCTTCTTCCAACTTTCCATTATAAAATACCCTGGCTTCTTAGATGTTGTAGACATTTTTGCAACTGCTATCTGGTTATGCTGCTAGTGGCTTAGGGAATTTGAACCAGGACTCAATCCTTTTATTTTTGGCTAGCATTTACATCAGCTCAATAAAAACATTTGTTTCAGATATCTCATTATTTCTAACATTTTGTTTTAAACCCTTAGATTTAGCATCTAGAAAAAGAGATAGCTACTTATAAAGGATATCAATAAAACCCAAATGATCTTCACTCTCTAATTAAGTGTGTGCCTCTGGGTGCAAGAATATATTGTGTATTTTCATTGACCTTATAATTCTATCTCTGGAAATATATTACTGAAATAATTCTAACTATAAACAAATATATACTCACCTGCTAATCACAGTAGAGAAACAAGTCAAGTTACAAGGCAAGACTAAGTAAATCACAGTCCATCAATCTGATGGATTGGAACAGCCATTATAAGTGACTGAGCACATAATATACAAAATAGCATATGATAAATTTTAAAAGGCAAATCCCTAGTAGGAGGAGGGTAAATGAAGAGGATAAATGTGGGTGAATATGGTCAATGTATTTTCTATACATGGATGAATACGGAACATTAAAGCCTGTCAAAGTCATTTTAAGAAGGGGAAGGGTGAAGAGGGAGAAACAGGAGTACATTGTATATATATATATATATATATGGAAATGTCACCATGAAACCCCCTGTCCAACTAATGTATACTAATAAAAAGGTTAAAAAAAAGGCAAATCCAAAATATATTGATACAATATAAAAGGTTAGAACATTTAAAAAAATTAATAGTGGTTGATAGTTAGATCCATGGGGCATTTTTCTGTTTTTATTTATCAAATGTTTATAGAACACCAGTAAGTGCCAGGCAGTGTTGTAAAACATTGACATATACCAGTGACCAAAACAGTTCCCTGTCCTCATGGAATTCATATTCTGGCAGATGGAAACAAACATATTTATCATGTAAGTAGGAAGTTTGGGTGAGAGTAACAAATACTATGAAAAAAAATTTTATCAGCACATTGAAGACGTAAGTTGATAGTACTCAAGTATAACCTTATCAAAAGGGCTAGCCTGACCTTTTCTGATTATCCCCTTGATTAACCTTTAAATCCAAGTCTTTGCAGAATAAATAAGTGTTCTAGGTACAGGGAATAGCAAGGCCAGAACTCTAGCTAGAAGTATGCCTGGTGTGTTCAAAACACATTAAAGAGGGCAATGTGGCTAAGCAAAATGAAAGCAAGCAGCAAGTAACAGAAAAGATCAGAGAGATAATGGGGGACTAACCATATAGGCCTATGTGGGACATTGTTCACACTATGGCTTTTACTATATGCAAAAATGATGTAAGTTCATTATTTAAAATTAGAGGACAATGCCTATTCAATGTAAAATGAATCATGTCTAGTGATAGTCAATAGATTCTTAACATCCTTTGATCTTGAAAGATGTTTCTACCAACTGCCTATTTCTTTTAGTCTTGGCAGGATCACCGAAAACAGTAGGGAGGTAACCTTTCCCAGACAGAGGCATGTCTTCCAACACGGATAACTCAGAGGCTACGTTCCTCCCCAAGAATCTTTAAATGCTTACCTAGTCTGTTGTGCCGCCACAAGACTCCAGCGATTAAGGATTACTCACAAGTGAAGCAGCATGTTTACTTACCACTCTCACTCCACAGTTTTGTCTTCTGTGCTGTCAGGTCATTTGCCAACTGAGTCATCTCATCCAGTTTTGTGTTTGTTTCATTCAAGCGCCCTTCACACAGACTATTGAGTTTCTCAGCATTAGCCTGTGAGTTGTGAAAGAAGAATTGGTCATGGCTGACAGAGTCCATACTAAATTATCTGCCAAAAGAGGGTGGTGATGTCTGGCTGTGGGGCTATATGACTTCTACAGAACAGACCATAGCATGCAGCATGAAATCACATCTTATAATTTAAGCAAGTACAATAAGTTCTGGGTCTGTACCTATAAGAGACCTGAGCTTCTCAGACTATAGGTGTCAGTGAAGAAATCTAACTCCCTGGGTATTAGGATCCTCTCTGGAATTCTCTGCTCTTCTGAAAAAGGAAACATTTCAAACACTAATGACATGTCAGACATGATCATTTTTGGCATTATATATTCACCAGTCTTTCTCTCTTGCTAGAGTATGTTTCATGAGGTTTGAGGTTCTGCTTCATCACAGATCCCCAGTGCCTAGAAGAGGACTTAAAACATACTAGAGGTTAAATAAACAAGAAAGAAGGTACATAAGGAGGGGAAGGAACAAGAAGAAAGAAAATCTAGAGGACTGAACAAATAGGCTAGGAAAAAGTAGATGGATGGCGATGCCATAGCACAGTAACATAAATTTGCGCTGACTGTCAAAGCAACTGCACCCTTCTGATCACTATAGCTACAGGCTCAAGAATAGCCTGTTGGGCTAACACTTCAATCTCAAATCTCAGTTTTTCAGAATTGTCTTTTCATGCTTGAAGAAAAGGATTTGCCACTGGCCTCTACACTTCTGATTTTGGTAACCAATCAAATGAGCAGGTTTTTTTGACCTTCTGGAGACTCATGCAAGTGATTCTGAAACCCAAGAACTAAAAACTGTTAAGCTGCATGTGTATGTGAGCGGGTAGAGGTTATCTAGGAGTTAGCAACAGTTTAGATTATTATTTATATGGTCACAAATGCTGAAATTCCATGATTCTGTAGATTTTTTTGTGAAACTCTTCTATAAATTATTTTTGAATACCTTCTATCTGTCCCATGATTCTTGGTGATGATAATAATAATCATAACATTTACTTACATTGTTTATCACAAACTCAGCTTTCGTCTAGGCTCTGTATATGTGTTAAATCTCAATTCATACACAGGCCCATAAGGCCTTTGTTTCTATAAAGAGTATTGTAGAAATGAAAGACTAAGAAGACAAAGAAGGGATTATATCATGGCAACTTAAGAAAACTATGAAACTTGGTGAAATGATGAAAGCTGGCAGTGAGCCTAATAGTCATAGTTTCAGCCTAATGGTTATGAAATACCAATGGCCAAAGAAGATTTAAAATGTGATGCCAGGTTTAGTCCTCATGGAAACTTCTGAGTCATGAAATACCTTGGCCATCTCTAGGTGGTATGCCCTATGCCATGTAAAAGATTGTTCTCTTTAAGCTCACACTAGTAGTATTCTAAGTTCTCTATGAAATAATACAAACTTGTATCTTCTTATATCTACAATGAGTGCTTGACACACAGTAGACATTTAGTAAATGCCTAAGACATCCCAATTATTGCAGACTTTAAGTGGTAGATTGGCCAACATACAGATTTGGTTTTTGACTTGGTGATTCGCAAACAAATGAAGAACCAATTCCAGTGCATGCTCATTTGGAGATTGACAAGGAACACCAATGTATTTCTAGAGCCACAGTGTACACTACTTGACGGAGATTCAGTGGCCAATGCCAATGGCATCACAGAGGTTAGAGCATTGATGTTAAATGCCCAGCATGCTCAATTACCCAAACAAAACTGGAAGAAAGCTGTACAAGTAGTAAATGTAACAGTTTTTAAGTTGTTTTCCATTTTTAATCATATTTTGAATGTTGAATGTTTGCTCACACTTCTGAAAGCAATTTTAATGATAAAAGTTTGCACACTCATTTTTTTCCCTCAAAATAGCCCTCAAAAGTTGAGACTGGTTTTATTTTATAAAAGAAAAAATAATATCAGAGAGGCTTAATATTTAGCCCAAATTCACAAAGTTTCAGAAATGAGATTTAAATAGAAACTGTTCAGATACAATTTTTTTAAAGAAAGGAAAGAAATAAAAAGAGAAAGAGTAATTATTAAATTCCCAAGCATCGTCCATAGGAAGTAATAAGCACAAAGAAAATGTTAAGGATTAAGTGACTTGATATACTAGGTGACTCAGACTGTCACAATTCTTGACTATGTGTACAACTTTATTTTAAATATCCAATGATAAATGACCCATTAACTGAGCCACAAGAAGCTTGTTTAGGTGTGAGAAATGTGAGTTCTGTTTATAACCCCAAATATGTTGTGTTATACATTTGTTTGCAAAGAGTGAATGGGTGCAGCTCTTTATAGAATCACTTAGTCAATGGTGTGTGAAAATGGCAAGAAAAGAAGTCAGAGTCCCAGTTTTCAGGAGAGATCCCTGAAGTGGTGGCCTACTGGGAAGTTCATATTTGCAAACCATCAGCCCACCTGGCAGACAAAAAAGGCACTTCTTTTTCATATAGTGAATATCCACAGGTACTGCTAACCACAGATATAGTGCAGTCAATTAGTAAAGCATTTTTTAGCACTCTATCACTTAAGCCACTCTTCCTATTCTTTCTAATAGACATTGTAGTTATTTATATAAAAGTGGCCTGTACAGAAATATAGCATCCAAAAGAGTGGTTTTTTCATAAGAATTTCAAATTTAAGCATAAAAATAGGCAACACATTTTTATAACAAAGAAGAGGAGGTTAATGGAATAATGCACATTCATCTTAGAGCTGCTTCTTTGTTTTTATAAAGCTGCTTCTTAAAATGATGCCTAAAAATGCTGCCTCCTAGAAAATGCAGAAACCAATAGGAATTCAAAATAATCAAATAACTGTGATATTGCCTATCACTTCTAAATTGCCCTGGGCCTCTCTATCAGAATAATATGTTTTGAAATGTTTCCATCTCCACTGTACCACTGAGCATTGGCATTCTTACCATTATAATTTGGAAAAGATGAAACCAACAATTCAAACAGAAGTTCAGCATAATATGTATGCCTTTGAGAATAATGTAGAATCAAGTTATCCTGCCAATATTTAAGGCGGCAACTGAAGATAGTCACCCACAGACATATATAGAATTTAGAGTTGAAGTTCATCTCTGCCATATAATTGTGTGAAGTCACTGAACCTATAAGCCCCTGGAGGCACATATAGAAATTAATGTTAGTAATTGAGTACAGAGTATACAAAACAATGTAAATAGGAAAAAAATTATAAGACCTCATTTATGTCTTAGAGATGTTTTCCATTTAAGCAGTTAAAAGACTATACAATGCCACAGTACAAGAGGTACCTCAAAAGAGCTGCAAGAATTTAGGAACAAACAAACTTTTAATACAGGAAGTTGAACTTGAGCATTCCAGAAAAAAGATTGCTTTGGAAAAGATACATTGCTGAGAAAATGGATACTTAGTGCTTCCACAAAGCTTCTTAACTTAGCTGAAATGAAGATCCAGGAACCAAAGCATTAATAACTAAAAGTTGCAAGAGAAGATGATCCTGATCACAGACCACATATTACCTTGAAAGCAGAAGGTTAGTGTTCATTCATAAACGGGGACATAATTTAACAATAATAACTAAAAGTGGCAAGAGGAGATGATCCTGATCACAGATCACAGGTTACCTTGAAAGCAAACGGTTAGTGTTCATTCATAAACAGGGACATGATTTAACAAACTCATGCTTCACATGGGACTTGGACTTCAGATTTACACCACCCTCCCATATTCCTATGCTGAAACTTTAAATAACCAAGAAAGAGGAAAATGCAGGGTGATGGCTTCTTTCTACTCAATGGGAATCTTGTGAGGAATGAATATTAAATATTTTTAAATTACTCTATAGCTCTCTAAAGATATCCTACATATTTTTCCCACAGTCCATGGAGATCGAGTTTTTTTGGTTGGGTCATGTCTTTCCCAGATGACTACAAATTTGGTTCACAAGAAGCAGATTGCAGAAACTAGTCATTTGCTCTGCTTAACCTAAAGCAAAACTCCTCTCTACTACCAGAAGTTGGGGTTGTTGTTAACTATGACATGACAGTAACCATTTGTTTCAGGACCTTGAAGTATATAGGTTAATGGGCTCAGCTAAGAAATAACATGTGACAAAACATTCTTCTAGTGTGGGCTGGTTGAAAACACCAAAGGACTTAAGGAAAAATATGCCCTCCTCTCAGCAAGGCTGTTTGTGTCCATGGTTCATTCAGATAGGCTCTAGAATTAACTGGGCTACCTCTATGGAATGATCATGACACAAAGCCTTCTTCAAGAGAGATATAAATGTTAGCCTCCATTCTTCTGTCCTACTCTATTTACACCATCACCAGAAAAATCCATCCAAAACATGGCTGGGATCCTGATAAAACCAGAAGCCACTGTCAAGTCATATTCAGGTGCTGCTGTGTGATCTTAACAATGACAACTAAGGCCAGGCCTGATCTATTTAGTCTTGAGAACTATATCTACCGTTATCAAATATCTCTAGTTATCATTCTGATTTTTCTTTTCCCTCCCCTCTGCTACCTATTTCTATGTTCATAAGTCCACAAGAAGAGCTTGGGAGTATCTACCTTAGCTCTAGTCATCTGCTCAACCTCAGTCAGGAGGTCATCTACTTCTAGCTGCAAGTCACTCTTGTCATGTTCCAGTTTCTGTTTGGCCTGCTGTAGATTTTCTATCTGGCTTTCCAGCTCAGCCAGGCTATCTGCATGTCTCTTTTTCAAAGAGGTAGAAGTTGCCTCAAAGTGCAGCATGGCCTCTTCCATGTCTCGTTGAAGCTTCTGGAATCTTGCTTCCTGTTTCTTAGTTATCTCCATCTGAGCCAAACTGGTCCCTCCTGACTCCTCCAGCCTCTCACTCAGGTCTTCTAGGTCTTGGGTAAGGTTATCTCTCTCTCTTTCCACCTTGGCTCGAGTGGTCCTTTCAGCTTCCAGTTCTTCGTTCAAATTTTGTATATGAGTCTGGAGCAATAAATAATATTTACTTATATAAACTTGTAGCACCTTTAAGAGATTTTTTATATTCATTTTTCTCACAAATAAGAAAGCTGACATATTTTTTGGTTTGCAATTTATAACTAAAGAAAATAGAATACTTTCTATTTTCCCAAAATCAATACCAATTGCACTTGTAGTTCATCCAGATCTCCCATTCCTTCCTTTTTTTTTAAATTGGTGGTATTGTGGTTTGAACTCAGGGCCTCATGTTTGCTAGGCAGGCACTCTACCACTTGAGTCGCCTTGCCAGCCCCTAGATCTCCCATCCCTGAATGATGGAAAATGTCATAAATTATATGTATGAAAATAAATGATTAGTAAAGAGCATGTCCCCCCAACATGGAAACTTAAAGAGACTTTATTAAGTAATGTAGTGAGTTTTACATATGAACCTTTTCTCATCTGGAATTATTTTCTTGACAATTTCAACTATCAGGCACTCTGCAAAAATCTAATCAATTGAATTAACATCAAGTGCAAACACTTGCTCTTAAGAAACAGAATCAATTTAATTTTACACACATTTCTAACAAACTTGTTTACTTAGTTTCTTATTCTGCAGGAGATTTCAAGTAGATTTGCAATAAAAAATTAAAATTGGTAGAAGGGAGACTAAAAATATGAATAAATATTTGAATCCATTAGAGGTAGGATGGTAAGAAAGGGGAAAGTATTGATAAGAACTTCAGATCACCAAACTAAACTTTAGTATGGCAAGTAGCTCTATAAATTTTCATAGCATCATTGTATTACAGTACAATGAAGTCATTGACATTCATTAGCATCATCTTAATAATTAGGCACAGTTTAGGATAGGGGAGAAAAAAAGGATAGACTAATTTGGAATATATTTTCCATAAAATAATGTGGCTTAGAGAAAGCAAGTATCTAAACCATACCAATTAATAGCCTATCAATTCTATAGGGATAGCATGACAGAGAAGTTACTAAAGGAAAGTATGGTTTCCACTTGCAAGTAAACATGCTCCCCTGCACATGTCAATGTGCTCCATATTACAGTATAACATGGAGATGTAGTATAAAATGTTCATGTGGCCTTACATTTATAAATAGCTATACATTATCAAATAATGTTTTGAATGTTTAAGTAGCTATTGACCTACTGATTTTTAGTATAAAATTGCTTTCTAATCGTAAAAAAATTGAATTGCTAACAATGAAGGCATACCATGGATAATGCACTGTACTTATGTACTGTTGCATTTAACAATGTCAGCTCAAAGACTGTAAGGATCAAGGAGAAAAAAGATACATTTCCAGGATTTTAGCACATCATGATAAGGAAATTTAAGATGAAAAAGTATTTTTCCCTAGGGTCACATCTGTAGAATGCAATTTACCTTTTCTCTCTTTTTTTTTTTGAGACAAGGTCTCACTATGAAGCCCGGACTGGCCTTGAACTGGCAATCCTCCTTCCTCAGCCTCCCAAGTAATGGGATTACAGGTGTATGCCACCACACACAGCTAAGTTTACCTTCTTAACCACTATTCCTGACTCCTTCTGACTGTGATTGGCTAATGACATGCGTACCTTGGCAGATAATTTGTTACCAAACCACCAATCATCACCCATGGATCTAAATACTGGTGTACACAAGTGTGTGATAATGATTACCTGAAGTTCTTTAACCATCTTCTGAAGCTGAGCCACCAGGCCTTTTTCATTCTCTACCTTAGAATTCATCTGAATCATTTCTAATTCTTTCCTGTTTAGGAAAAGGTAGCAAATGGAATTTTTCAGAATAATAATGCTGTTTACATATTTTTAAATTATACAAATAATATATGGATCCTTCTTATTGTATAAATTCAACCATTACATCTACATCTGATGTCTTTTGGGTTATTACATGCAATTCTATTCTCTTCCTAGAACTAACGACTATCATGTATTTGGTGTGAATTCTTCCTTATTATTTTCTACTTACATATATTTGTGTCTATGTGTACATATATAGCTGCAGAAACAGTTTCATTTTCTTTACTGTGAAAGTTATAGTATTGTATACATTTTTATGTTCACATCTATAATTTATTCTTAACATAATAACATATTGGAGATATTTCTATGCTGGCCCTCACACACCTTAATTTCACTTAACAATTTAACAATGATACAGTGAAGACATTCTGTAGTTTATTTGTGAGTTTCCCCTATTAACAATCACCATTCTTTGAGCTATAAGTTTTATTATTTTGAATATTTCATGTCAGTGGAATGTATCCTGCTGTGACTGGCATATTTCAGGTAACATAATGTCCTCCAGGTTCATCCATGCTGTCACATATGGCAATGTTTCCTCATTTTTTAAGGATGAATTGCATTTATAAACAAAACTTTCTTTACCCTTTCATACATCAATGAATATTAATTTCCAGACTTTTGCTAATTTGAACAATGTTGAATCTTCTAATAGTAATACAGCTTTTTTACATTGAATTATTTAATACAACTGGATTTTGTGAATGGTATGAGGTAGGAAATGAATAGCTAATAATCCCAACACCATTTATTGACTATTCTATCCTGACATCACTAACCTGAAATGCCATGTGTTAAATTTTAAATATACATAGGTCCATCTAGAGAAAGGTTTTATAATAAAGTTACCACTCCCTAACAAAGTAGATTTCTAAAATGCTGAATATCTGACCAGTAGCCTACAAAGAAGAGCATATATAATTCCAACACCTGTGCATAAACAAAAAAGCCAGAACTCAAAGCTGCAAACTTAACACTCTTCTTTTTTTCACTGTGGACTTACTTTGCTATGCCCCCAGCTTTAACATGGCCATATCTTGTTTTGGGACCTCATGGATTTATCCTTTTATTTGGTCTAATCTAAATAAGTTGAAATTCTTAAGTGTTACTTTAAAAAGTCTAGTTAAACAAAGGAAGACAAATGGAACAAAGTGAGAAAATCTGTTTTACCAACTGGTAGAACTAAACAGAGAAAGCCATCTTCCTTGGCACATAAAGAATATAAGTGAACTGAAATTTCCCAGATTCTTATCATTTTCAAGTTTTGGCTTAGATTTAAAGACTTAATATTCATATAGAAAATTATTTGACAAAAATCTTCTACATAAATATTAATGAGTAGATATCTAAAAACAACTATTATATGAGTAATCAGAGAATATTTCAGACTTCACCTGAAGAAAATTTTTTTGTCTTGGTTTTATGTTGGCATTGGTCTAATTAAAAATAAAAGAAGTAGGCTCTTTTCATTTTTTGAGCTATAGCCTCAAATTCCCAATGATTCACATCTCATATGCCTTATAGATTTCATTCTCATCTGCTAAGCAGACGAATTCTCAGTTATGTATTCTAGATTATATATTCATTTTGTTTTTACAATCATATAAAGTTCATCAAAGAAAAAATCAATTTCCTAAGTTTGTTATGGTTTAGGACTCGAGATATCTGACCTAGAGACTTGATGAGAGAGCTGTTACTTTCAATATAAGATCTCCTTCCCAGAACCCCATGACAAGAGAAAGGTGCTTACTTCCTCAGCTGTTCTGCTAGCCGCTGCTGGCTGCTCTCCAGGTTCTCCACATTTTCCTGGTTCATCTTCAAATCACCCTCCAGTTTATGCTTTTCCCTCTCAGAGTTCATTCTCACTTTTCTCTCCCGTTCAAGGGCACCCTCCAGCTAACAAAAGGAGAGATTATTTAATTAAATAAATAGGCATAGCTTATATTTTACTAAATGTGTGTGCATTAACCACTTACCTTCAGAAAAAAGGAAGAAAAGTACAATCACAGATTCTGTAAAAGATAACCAGTCACATAGGCATTTTAAAATAAATGCCACATGCATCAAGAGGTTAAAGGAATCTAGAAATGATCATGATGGAAGAAATCTCTAGAGATTATGAACTATGAGATCTGACCTAGGAAATCAGCCAATAATAAGTGGCTAATGTGCTCCTGATTGATTACTTTTCAGTGATGGGAAGCTCTCTCCTTCATATGGCAGATCATTTCACGGGTAGATAATTTCATTTACTCAGAAGTGTTTCTTCACAAAAAGTAGAAATATTCTCTGTAAATTGCTCCCTAGAGCAACACCACGAAAATCTTCTCCATGTAATCATCCATGAGTGTTTGATTGCCCTCCTGGGCATCACTGGGCATTTCATTCAGCTCTCTCATGGCATAACTCAATGTTCCCTTCACCATAGAAGGGAATAGCAATAGAAGATATTTTCTGTAATTAGCAAAAGCATGAAATTCAAATTATGTTAGGGGGTTACTTCTGGAAGGTGTATATAAAAACCTAAAAGTAGATGAACTCCAGGTCCTTAACATTAAATGGATGTGTCCCTTAAAATTTTGTATGCTGAAATCCTAACCCCTAAAGTAATGGTATTAGGAGGTGTGGCCTTTGGGCATGAATAGATCACAAGGACACAGCCCTGATGAACAGGATTAGTGTCTTTATAAAAGAAATTCCAGAGAGGTCCCTTGACCTTCCACCATGTAAGGACACAACAAGAGGATGACCATGTATGAATGATGAAGTGGGCCTTCATGATTCACCATTTCCAAGTCTACCAACACTTTGACCTAGTTGCTCCCAGTCTCCAGAAATGTGAGACATAAATTTCTGTTGTTCATGAGTCACCAAGGCTATGTAGTTTGTTCTAATAGTTCAAATGTACACCAAAAGGACTATATGTATGTGTATTCATACATGTGCACACACAAACATTCCTAATTTCTTACAGTGAGACTTTGTGAGATAATCAATAGAAATAGAAAAGTAAGAAAAATAACAGGTAACAGAGAAAACTGATAGAAGGAAAAAACAGATAATCAAAAAACCCTAATTATCCTTTTCAGCAATTTTATAAAGACTAGACTTTGGAAAATACTAAGAGAATGAATGCATATAAGGTCAACTGAGACACAGGTAAGAAGGATAATGAACCTATACATTGAGACAGATCTGAAAATTTTTATTTCACAGGTTGCTTTGAGGCAGAACAGGGCATCACCTTTAAAATCTTACAAGTATTTTTCAACAATAGAGGTAGAGTGCAGCTTGTGACTTACATATCTTTCAACCACAAATAAACCTCAGTACACAACACAGATTTCAAATACAATCCCCCAACACCAGTGTCAAACAGCCTAGCAACATATTTATGGGGCAAAATCCAGGTTCTATGGGAGCTAGGGGAAAAGCCAGTCACTCAAGAGTCATAACCCTTCACTGTTCCTCTCAGTGTTCTTCTCCCATTACCCAGAATTGTATAAAAGTTGCTTTAAAAAAGTGACAGGTGCTGAGCTGAGCCTCACTTACACTGTAGCAGTTCAGTGTATGTTAAGAAAAAAAAATCTCTTTCTAAATAATAATAGAAACACAGTATGCTATTGAGTACTACTGAAACTGTTAAGATAAATTAAGTAAAAATTGGGGAATATGTCTATGATTATAGATTACCAACTAGTTAAATTCATTGCTACTTACTGCATCAACTTGCTGTCCCAGTTTCAGATTTGCTTTGCTCAGGGTGCTCAGTTTCTCTTCCTGCATGTGCAGTTGGTCCTGGGTCTGCTGATGGGCCTCCTGCACAGCCTTGATGGCTTTTTGAAGTTTGCTGATATCCTCATTTAAAGACTCTACCTCTTCAGTCAGGTTCTTGACCTGGGGGAAGAAAATGAGGACAGCTTCATTAGGGCCACCACTGGAAGGTGGGTTTAACATTAAAGGACAGTGTCTCTCTTTCATAGTCCAAAATATTCATGAGGAATCCAATATCATCAAAAGCAAGAGTGCTCACTATATAGTAATCTTAAACTGGCAGAGGCCACTATGGGAAAGGGACTAGGAAGTAGTGAAAAGGTCTGGTACAGATGAACCAGTTTGGGTTATAAATATATATATGCATGGAAACAACACAAGGAATCTCCCTGTATATCTATCTTTATCTCAAACTAGCAAAAATGCCATGTTTCTCTTATTATCTTTTCTGTTTTTAATTCAACAAAATCAGAGAACAAAAGGGAACAACAGGTTCTGTCTGGAGGTGGGGTGGGGGGGATGGTCCAAATAATGTATACACATGTAAGTAAATGTAAAAATGATAAAATAAAATTTAAGAAAGAGTTGCATTCAGCCAAAAACCTGATACACTTTTTAAAATTAAAATTCGAACTTCAGTTTTTCTTTCACAGAAAATTATCTGACATAGTCAGGAAATACAGTATTATGGTAAATCAAATATTACCAATATAGCTCATTGTATGGACAAGTTTCAGAACATCATATCATTTTACAACAACAATAATAGTGATACAACTAAATGTAATTCTCTTTTGATGATTTGGTGGAGCACACACTGATCATGTACCTCAGTGTCCCTAGAGAGTGACAGTTAAAGTATCTAGCAGATGATACATGTAATAGTGGACGCTAGCTATTTTGGGCCCATATGCCCAAATCAATAGACACAAGAGCTGCTATTTAATTACCTACCAGATTACAGTTTCATTTTGGAGATTAGCTGTTTACCAAAGTTTTGAATCAGACTCCTCACTAGTCTCAATCCACACATAAGTGTACAAGTTAAAACCCCAACTAACACAAGCAAAATGCTACAGTCCTTAAATTAAAGGTCACCTCAAATGTTTGGAGAGTTGAGGACTCAGACAAATCCCAAATCACCTTTTAGCAGACTGCATCATGTTTTTTGTCTTTCCAAAACAGATACTTAGAGGTCCAATGAAACATATTATCTACTTATTAGATTATAAATGCAATAAGATTGGAACAGACAAAAACATTTTATTTGGTACGCTAAGTGGGGCTCCAAAATTTTATCTGGAAATTTGAATTGGGACAACAGAGTTCATCAGACCCCTTATTTTATGCCCAACACAGGCCACCGTGTTAATTAACATGAGCACAGCACTTTAGGAATCAAAGCCTGATTTGAGAGTGGAATCTGGGCATCTAGGCCTTCCTAACATCACAGGAAAAGTACCTTGTGCTCTGTCACATGCTTCTCCTTCTCTGACTTCGCCAATATTGTTTCCAGGTCATTGATTTCTTTCTTCAACTCAGAACATTCATCTTCGAGTTTCCGCCCCCTGGCAGTCAGCTCAGAATTTATCTTCTTTCCTTCCTCCACCCTCTCAGACAGCAACTTGACTCTGGCCTCCAGCTGGATCTTGGATTTAATCAGCAACTCATATTGCTCTTCAGCATTTGCCAGGGTCTGTCGCTCCTGCCATGATGAGGAGAAAAATTGTTGCCAACAGCTGGAAGTAATTTATCAGCTAGGCGAAAATGCTGCTTAACACATAGCATGGAGATAATTGCCTGCCCTCAGCCCAGGACTTTCACCTATCTATCCCAGTTAGATGAAATATCACACCACTGAGCCTGTTGTTGAGAAGTGGAGGAGTTGCTTGTTTTGGAGGAGCTTTCATCTTTCAGGCTTATTCAGTAAATTAAATGACCTCTTCTAAATCACTTGATGGAATCCTGGTGGCCTAGCAAGTTAACATGCTTCCAAAACTCAATGGTGAGCTCCTTAAATCACAGCATCTGACAGAACTGATGTGGCCACTTAGTTTGAGACTGATACCTGCTTAAAATATGGTCTTTTAAGAAAGTACTGTTCTCTCAGACAATGTAATAATTACAACATTATCATAAGTGCCCTAATGCAGTTGTTTAATGTATGTATTTCTAATAAACTGAGCTGAGCTGTACATTTTTTATACACAGGCTTAATTTAGAAATCATAAGTTTAGTTGTAAATCACTAACTTGATTTCATTTTTATCTCCAATTTAAAATTTTCCTCAATGATTTTGGCAGCAGCAAGTTCTACAAATTACACACAAAGAACATTTAACCATGCTCATGTACTTCTTCATTTTAACCATTCTCCTCATGTACTGCCTCCACATCTCACTTGTTGACCCATTGTTTCTAAGATTTAAGTAGTGAAGAATAAGAGTGCTTATTGTTACAAAGTACTTTTCATGTTTTGAACTCTTAAAATTTGTCTTTTTCACCTGATAATATGTTTTCTTTGTGGCAAGTTCTTAGGTACTGTCAGTCTCATTGCAACTGAACTTCACACCATCTTTGCTATAGTTTGTATTTTTGCATTTCTCACAAAAACACAGGTATTAAAGGATTGGTCCTTGGGGTAATGATATTGGGAGGTAGTTGAGCCTTTATTTGGTGGGGCCTCATGAGGCATCCTTAGGTTATGGGGCCATGCTTATGAAGGGAATTTCTGGACTCCAGTAAATAAGAGAAGCTCCCAGTGTTTGAAAAGTATTAGGAACATTTGATCTTAGTTCATGCTAGATGGACACACAGAACAACTCTTTGTATTTTATACAGTATGTGTACAGGATCAGGTCCTGTCACCAACAGTGAATGAAGAGGACAATTCAATTGACCATCACCGATCCCTTCACCAAACAGTGGGATTTGGGGACTAGCTGACATCACGTGCAACAGTTTAAAAGTAGGAAGATCTTTTCTTTAACTGAAGTTATTCTCTCACACAAGATCAGTGTTAATTGGTATAGGTTTACTTGGTTTGGCTGACACTTTGAGTAAGTGATGGATTTAAAAAGAATCCTTCCTCTTTGATACCTTTTTATCCTCTCTCTCTCTCTCTCTCTCTCTCTCTCTCTCTTTCTCTCTCTCTCAAATCTCTCTGACATAATTTCACCATGTAGCCCAGGTTGCAGGCTGGCCTGGAGCTTGCTAAGGTTGGCCATGAACTTGTGATCTTCCTGCCTCAGCCTCCCAAGTGCTGGGATTATAGACTTGTACTCCCATGCCTGGGTAGCCTATTAAAAATGAATTAGGATAAAATATTTCATAGACCTCTCAACTTTTTATTCACAGTTACAATTTGAACTCACCTCAGCCTTTGTGTGTATGCTCTGGAATTTGCTTATACATGTTTCCCATGCCTCCCTCTATGATCTTTGACAAGTATCTCAACCTCTCACTTTCTATATCCCTGCACAAGTTGGGTGCTTTTCTATCCCACATCACACCAAGTTGCATTGGCTACTTTCCAACTATAAGAAGAATGACAGGAACTGGAAGGCCAAATCTCACCCAATGCTCCCTCTTCTCTAATTGTATTTGAACCTAGCATTGTTCAACTTAGCATTGTAATATTTGGAATGGAGAGTATAATAAATATAAAATTTCATCACTGGGAGTCCAGGTAGTTAGGAAGGAGGAATATGAAAGTGAATGAATAATGGCACACAGGCATAAGATTGAAATCAGGGTCTTAAATGCCAAGACCAGGAGTTTCAAGTCTAAAATGTACAAATTGCAGGATCTGAAATGCTCATTAGGAAATTAGCATGTTTTGTTTGTTTGTTTGAGACAGTAGCTCTTAATCCTCGTTGGATGTCAGAATCACCAAAAGAAAATAAATTCAGACCATTAGGAGGATTAACGTGATATATGGAGAGATTCTATTTGCTTCTATTTTCGCATCATCTAGTAGTGGAAGAAAAAGAATTCAAGGAATGTACAGATTCTTTACACCCACATATGGTCTGCTTAATCAAAATACCTTAGAGCAGGGTCTAGATAATTTTCCTTTTATTTTTTAATGTTTCACAAATGTATTTGGTACAAAACCAAGGTGGACAATTGCTCTTTAAAGAACTCAACTAATTAGTAATGTTGATTTGGACTAAGGAAGACAAAATAGAAAGACAAAAACCAGGAAATAAGTAGGCACATACTGCAATAATCCTGAAGACCTCAATCAAGCCTTCCTTGGGACCTATTAAAATTCTATCTGCTGATTTGCTAATTGGTTACTCTCAATTAAGATCCAGAAATTCCTGACCCATGGTAGATTATGTTTACTATTATATAGTAAATACACATGTGCCAGTTTGTCTCCTTTTCATAGACATCCCGCCAATGAATTTACTTCAAATGAAATAGGGTGTGTTTTTAAGTTTTTCCATTGTCTGTGTTTAATGACAATCTATAGTATTTAAAAAGCTCATGCTTCTGTTTTGTTTTTTTGTTTGTTTGCTTGCTTGCTTCTAGTCAACACTACCTGTGAAACAAAAAAGTTTAATTTAAAAGCAGATGCAGGGCAAGTATAGTGGCTCAAGTGGTAGAGTACCTGCCTAGCAAGTATGAGGCCCTCAGTTCAAAATCCTCAGTACCACACACACACACACACACACACACACAAACCGAAAAACTAGATATAAAGAACAAGTGGTGGGACTACTCACAGCCTGCAGCTGAAGAAGCAGGTCATTCTTCTCCTGAATGAGAGAGACTTGCTTTGTTTTCAATTCCTCCTTCTGAGATTCTGATTTCTCCAAGGCTTTCTGAAGTTGTGCATACTCTTCCTTCAGTCTAGCTGTTTCTCTCACTCCTGCAGATTTAACAAGGGACTTGATCTTGAAAAAGAGCATCAGCCACGGCCAGTTCTTCACAGCCATGAAAGCTCTTATGTTGCACTGGATCAAAAGAAGTGCATCCCTAAATCAAGAGTGCAAAAAAGGAAAGGAAAACAAGTTAAACTAGACTATAAGAAAGTAGTCATATAGTAAAGATCCTTCATAAGTACAATTTGTTAGGAGTCAATATATTTTCATTTGCCTTTAAAACACATCTATATCTGGGTTCTCATTTGATTGTGATAAAAACTCCATGAAGGATTTCTGGGACCAGCAATATTATGAACTAGATGTGAAAATTCTCTCACCACAAACACCTTTTAAGTGGGAATTGAACCCAAAAGAGAGTAAGAAACATAGAGGGACCTAAAAACCTTAATAGGAAGTGAATGCAGACATAGTTTGGTCATGTTCACAGAGAGAGGGAGCCAGTCTTGGTATTGTAATGGTTTTTGTTTTCCTGTCCATGGGATGGCAGAAACCTTCAAGAATTTACAGCCTTAGTGAAAAGGATGACTAAAAATCCACCCATCATAACCCATCATTTGAGAAATATCTGTGTTTGGAAGGAGATTAATTAAAATGCCTGAAACTGAAAAAAATACAGTGATTTCAATCATTAAATGAAATAATTAAGCAGTTAAAAAATAACCTACTGATTTAAAAAAATCCCCATAACCCAGGGTCCAGGCTAACTACAATAGCCTCAGTCTCCAGGATGGCCTCAACTGGTGTGTGCCAGGCTACAAATGCAGTCCCACAATGCAGGCTTGACCCCACAGATCTAGGCTTCAGGCTGGCCTCCATGAGTACAGGCTCTAAGTCCATCAAAGTAAAAGCAAGCATTAATCCAACTCTCAAAACCTGAGGTTTTAAAACTACCATCACAGACTCTGGCAGAAAGGCCTGTGCATGAAAATCCAAGCTCCAAGCCAACCTCAGTGAATGCAATATCAAGGCTCACCCTCAAGGACTCAGATACTGTGCCTGATTGAGCACTGAACATGGAGCCAGTTCAGGATTCTGTAGGACTCCATAGACAATCACATCCATGAACCAAATCAGCTAGCCTACCCAGAATCTTTGGCTGAGATCACTGGTGAAGGGCTTTTCTTGCCAAAGTCCTGTAAAGAACGAAAACGGTATATATCTTTTTAGTTGTACAAATACCAATGCAACTCCACAAGGATTATGAGTAATCAGGGAAACATGACATCAATAAAAGGACTACAAACCTCCAGTAACTGGCTCCAAAGAAACAGATATCCATAACTTGACAAAACCAGCCACCAGAGAGATCAAGAGATTACAGGTTCTTGAAATGAATGGAAAACATATGAGCTTAAGAAAAAAAGAAGACCTAGAATTCTAGATAGCATGTCTGATGAAAATCTTTCTAAATCAAAGCTAATCCATAAATACAGGAAGGAGTCTTTTTCTACAAATGTGCAGATACCAATGCAAAGCTACAGGGAACATAAAGAGTCAATAACACATTATGCAATAAAAAGGACAAAATTAATTTCTAGTAACTCCCTCAAAAGAAGTGGAGATCCACAAAGTACCTAAAAAAATTCAAAATAAGCATCTAAAAGAAGCTATAAGAAAAGAACTAAACATAATCTGGAGGTAAAGTACATACTTACTAAACTGAAAAAAAATCCATAGAAAAGAATATTCAATCATACAGAAGAAAGAATCAGTGACCTTAGAGACAGGTCATTCAAAATTTCCCAGTTAGAAGGACAAAAGGAAACATGAAAAATATGAAGAATGCCTAAAAGATTTATGAAATACCATCAAGCACACTAACTTATACATTATGCTAATTACAGAAGGAGCAGAGGAAAACAAGGGGGACAGAAAGCTTCTGTAATAAAATAATGGGAGAAAACATCACAAATTTGGAGAGAAAAATGAAAGTCAAGATTTATAAGGGGTAAAGAAACTCAAATAGATTAAATATAAAGAGGTCATTACTGAGGCATATTACATGGAATTCGCAAATGCCAGAAAAGTAAAGAATTTTGAATACAACATGATAAAGGCAATTTCTCACATAACAACAGAGGCTCTATGAGTCTATCAGTGGGTTTCTCAGAAGAAAAAAACCCCTGCAAGCCAGAAGGGACAGATATGCTGTAGTCAAAGTGCTAAAAGAAGGAAAATAAAACTACCAGCAAGGAATACTGTACCCAATAAGACTGTCCTTTGGAAATGAGGGAGAATAAAGACTTTTCCAGACAAACAGTAAGTGTGAGTTCATCACCACTATCTGCTACCACATACTAAAGGCAGCTCTTCAAGTTGAAAGAAAAAATGCTAACTAACAATATGGAAATGTATAAAAATATAAAACTCACTATAAAGGTAAGAATGTAGTCAAATTAATAGGATTCTAATGTTGTCATGGTAGAACATAAGTCACTTTTATCCCTGGTGCAATAGTTAAAAAGGAAGGTTTAAAATATAATTGTAGCTACAGTAATTGGTTAATGGATGCACAATGAAAGAGGATATATATTGTGACATAAATAATAAAACATGTGGGAGGAAAATAGTTAACATGAAGAGCATCTTGTATTCAATAAAAGTTAAGTTATAGAATACTATAACTCTAAGGTGTTTTATGTATGCCTTATGGTATCCACAAAGATAAGAAGGTATACAAAAGATGAAGCAAATCAATGCCTACTACTATAAAATATCATCACATTTTAAAGAGACAGCAAGAGAGGCAAAAAGGATCAAATGGATAACACAAGAGTCAAGCAACAATATTGCAACAATAAATTCTCACCTAGAAATAAGGACTTTAAATGTAAATAGAATAAAAATTGTTGGAACAAAAGACATAAAATGGCTTAATGGGTAGAAAAAGAAAACTTAACTACATACTGCATAAGAGTCATACTTTATTTTTAAGACCACAGAGACTGAAAGTGGGGGGAAAGAAAAATATATTCCTTGCAAATGTAAATTAAAAATCAGCAGGAGTAGCTACAATGATATCAGAAAAAAATAGATTTTAAATCAAAAACTGTTAAAAGAGACATGATATATTATAATAAAAGAGCCAATTCATCAATAGGCTATAGCAGTTGTAAATATATATGAACATAATATCAGAGCACCTAAACATGTAAAACAAGTATTAACAGAAGTGCAGAGAGAAATAGACAGAAATACAATAATAATAGGGAACTTCAACAAGGGATACACTATCCAAAAAGAAAATTAATAAGAAAATAGTAGACTTAAACCACATTATAGACCCAATGGGTTTAATAAAAATATTCTTTTTAAATACACAAAAAGTAATCTCCATGATAGATCATATGTTATTCTTGAAAACAAATATAAAAAGACTGAAATCCCCTCAAGTATCTTTCTCAAACATAGTGCTATTAAACTAGAAATATATATGATAGAAATTGGATAAAATCACAAATATGTAGAAATCTAACAATAAGCTCTTTGTTGAGCTTATTCACAAATATTGATCAAAAAATATGTCAAAAGGGAAATGAAGCTGGGTACTGGTGGCTCATGCAGGGGTACTGGTAGCTACATGAGAGGCAGAGATCAAGAGGTTCATAATTCTAGGCAAGCCTAGGCAAAAGTGTTCATATGACTCCATCTTAATAGAAAAGGGCTGGGTGTTGTGGCATGTGCCTGTCATCCCAGCTACAGTGGGAAGTGTAAAGTAGGACAATTGCAATTCAGGCCAACCTGGGCAAAAGGCGAGACCCTATGTCCAAAATAACCAGAGCAAAAAGGACTGAAAGCATGTCTCAATCAGTAAAGCTTGTGATTCACAAGTGTGAAGCCATGAGTTCAAATCCTAGTACTACCAAAAAAAAGGGGGGGACCTGAAAATATAGAAACAAATGAAAATGGTAACATGACATACAACAAGTTATAAGACATAACAAAAGCACAACTTAAAGGAAAGGATCAATGCCTACTTTGAGCAAAAAGGACAAAAGTCAAATAAATAACCTAACATTATACCTCAAGGAACTAAAAAAGAATAATAAGCTAAGCACAAAGTTAGCAGAAGGAAGTAACAAATAGCACAAAACAACAAAAATGATTAACTTTTGGAAAATATTAAAGCATGAAAATAATCTACTTAGCGCCAACTAACTTCCAACAAAGTCACCTAAAACATATACTGAACAAAAGACAGTCTCTTCAATGAATGATGATGGGAAAACTAGACAATTATGTGCAAATAAAATAAAATAAAATTAGACCATGATCTCTCACTACATAAAAAGATTAACTCAAAATGGATCAAAGACCTAAATGTGAGAACTGAAGCTATTGAACCAGTAGAAGAAAACACACGGGACACATTTTAGTACACTAAGATAGGCAATGACCTTTAGGATATGACCTCAAAAGCACAGGCAATAAAAGCAAAAAGAGACTAATAGGATCATATTGAACTGAAAAGTTTCTGCACAACAAAGTAAATAATCACAACAATAAAGAGTTAATCTGCTGAATGGAAGAAAATATTTAAAAGCTTTTTATTCAACAAATGATTAATTTTCATAATACATAAGGAACTGAAATAATTCAATTGCAAAAAAAATCAAGTAAATGATTTTTTAAATGGGCAAATGACCTCAACAGACATTCTTGAACACATACTTATTGATAGCCAACAATTACATGAAAAAAGGCTCCACTATAAGACATCATCTCACCTTAGAATGTCCATTATCAAAAAGGACAGTAGCAAATACTAATAAGGAGGCAGAAAAGGAATAACTCATACACTGTTGGTAGGAATATAAATGAGTACAGCCATTATGGAAAACAGAATACAGATTCCCCACAAATGTAGAAATAGATTTACCATGTGATCCAGCAATCCCACTATGTCTATATAGTCAAAAGAAGTAAAATCAGCATAAAAGAAATACCTACACTCCTTTGTTTATTGCAGCACTATTCACAATAGCCATGATATGCAATCAACTAAGGTTGATTCAATAGAAGAATAGACAAGGAAATTATAGTATACATACACAGTAGAATATTACTGGGTTATAAAATGAGATAATTCTG